AGCACCCGGGGATCTCCCGGATCTACGAGGGTCGCCTCCGGCCGATCTCCGGCGTATCAGATCCCTCGGGACAGCTCCCGGAGTTCCTCCGCGCCTACGTGACGCCGGACTACCGGGATTTAAATTGCGATACGTGGAAAGAAAAGTCGGTGCGTGGCCCCCGAGTTGGATGAGAGGTCTTCCGAGTTATGGAGAATTGCTAGATATTAGTGGACGCTATTAGATATTGTTAGGTATTATGAGATATTTGATATTTTTAGGTAATGTTAGATATGATTCATTATTATGAGATATTTGATATTTTTAGGTAATGTTAGATATGATTAATTATTATGAGATATTGTCAATTATTTTAATTCCTCAAATGACTCATTTGGTACCGGTTAGCTTAGGCATCATTACTTTAAGGTGTTTTTGTAACTGAAATCGTGTAAATTTATTAATAATGTACCCGCAAATTCAAGTTACTCTAGCAAGAAATGTCTTGAGAGGTTCCATGTAAAAAAAAGACATTTCCAGTCTTTGCGAAGAACGACATTGCTGACGAAGTCTTGCTCTTGCAATTAGTGCGGTAATAATTGCATCAGTAGCAACGAGTTTGCACTTGCATCACTAGTAGACGTAACCACGGGTATGCGTTTTTTTTAGAAAAACTGCTGGCTAAATCAACGAATACATTTACAGCAACCGGTAAAGAAAATGTTGTTCCTCCTCGATCAAATCAGCGATACCCGTTCGTTGTCCCTAGCAATGCATATTGCAACCATTAACGTAATTTGCGTTTCCTCGGTAAAGTATAACTTTTTTTACCGTCATATAGCGAAAACATTTCTGCAAAGAAATTTTGCCGGTTCATCTCTGTTTTTATTTGCAGTTACATTTATCGAGGCGAGTATCACCCTTTATCAGGAGCGTGAATGATTTTTCTGCATCCCATCCTCATCACCTGGGAGCCGCCCGCTACCTGTTGCTTCGAGTATATCTCGAATAGGATCGCCGGATCCCGTGTAAAAATCAAGGACATTGTTTTTTCATTAGGGCCGGATTTTCGGTAAGTTAAGTTGTAAGATTCGTAGCGGCGGGATATAGAAGTAATGAAACGGGGCCCGATAAATCCGTATTAGTCGCCGCAACGGAGAGCGATCCCGAGGTCATCCCGGAGGCCCGAGGTACGGTCATTTCGGATGTATCGGTTTCAAAGCGGGCATTGTCTGAAAAATGCCACGTCCTGATAAATCAGAGACAACCTGCGGCAGGGTCATCGGAGCGGAGGATCGTAAATCCCGAGTGCAAGGGCCTCGCCGCTGCGGCCGGTAAGGATCTACTGCGCGAGTCCTTGCGGGTGCAAGGATGGTAACGCGCAAGGGACCGCTCGCAGCCTGCAATTATGCAATTCAGAGCGCCGTGCCCTGGGCTGTGATTAGCCCCAGCACTTTACTACATATGTAGCCTTCTTTTGTTGGACCTCGATGGCCACTTCGCAGCGTCTAATCCGGGCTGGAGCGGAGCCTCTTTAATTATTGGAGCGAAGAAGCCCCAGGAGGAGATGGATTTCATCGAGACGAGTATCGCGGCCAGCCCAGACGAATCGGGACCCGGGAGAGTCCTAAAGAAGAGCCCTAAACAAGGACCCCCGGGGAACCCGCGACTCCCACCTCCGCCTTAGCCACCCCTAAGAGAAGCCGTCACCGCGACACACGCGAAGACCGGGGCTGCAGCCAAAGGGAAGACCATCCTCGGGGGTGCCATCCGTTGGCCGAGGTCGAAAAGGGATCAAAAGGAAGAAGGCACGTCTCCGGGTTTGGCAAGGTATCATAGCTGAGGAGAACCCTCTTCATCCTGGGCCCGGATGGACGTCGTAAGACGGTGATGCACGGGCCTCCACAAAGAGCGCGCCGGTGCCGAGAGGGCTCTCGGTGGCCGAGGCCCGGCATTAGACAATTAAATCCTTTTAATCGGCCCGGTAATTGTTCCGAATTAGAGATGCCGTTCGGCCAGTTGGAACGGTCCCTGATTATCGTGCGTACCCGCAAGATGTTTCTCCCGAAGGAGGGACCAGCGGCGGGGGGCGGAGGCCCCGCGGTGGGAGGATCGAGTAGAGCACTTAGTGGAATACGCCGGTGATTATTGGCCGTGATAATGATCGAGTCGCTGCAGTTGTCTATGGCGTGATTGCAGGTCGCCTTGATCCTTAGGCCATGCGAGGGTGGTTATTAGGAACGGCGACCGGTTCCATCTTGGAACCGTGTGTCCGCGCAGTCGGGACGCTCGACCGTGAACATCGAGAGCTCCACCTTCACCTCGGGCACCTTCCACCTCGCCAGGTAACTCCGATGCCCCGCTTCCCTGGAACCGGACCGATCCCGCAATTGCGGGGCCAGCACGCGAATCCTGCGTTTCCGTTTAGCATCGACATCGCCGCCGCATCCGCAGACTCGCACGTAACGACGAGATGCACTCCATGGCGTACCACCTGGACGATGAGTACCCTCTGCGATGGATGCCCCCAGACCTCCGAATCATGGCGTCCTGAGAACTAACGGAATCCCCAATTACAACGACATTCTGGGACATCGAGTCACGAAGAGACGCGGTCGAGCCTCGTTTTTCCTTAGAAACGGAGTAAATCCTTACCGCCATGATGAGACGCTCCGTTTCGAGGTAACGGAGCCACCTCCGGGGACCTCCAGGAAACCCTGAAGACCCCGAAGGGGCCTTTGAATGATCTCGACGAGGCCCAGGTATGCGGAAAAGTCGTAACGCCAGGAGGCGTCGCGCTCGTCTTCTTCCCGGGTGTTCTCCAAAATGGCGACCCCCCGGATAAGCCGTCGATATCTCGCGCTCCTTGCGGCCGGACGCGTTAAGGGGATTTCGGGACGCCCCCAGGAGAGACAATATAATGGCCCTGCAATTAAAGAGCGGTGATTAAAAGTGGGGTTTAATTGACTGTACGGCTCCCCCGGTTTAGCTCCGACCCTACGTGCGTGTGTCTGCTTACGCGCGGGCGCGCACGCAGCTCGCAATAAATCTTCCCACATGTAAGTAGTAACTAGTAACCGATTCACATTTATACGACTGCCGTGAGATATTAGCCATTACCGTGATTTATGACCTGACCCACCGCGGGAATCATTGTGATTGCTCCCCCGTGAATTACGCCAAAAGGAGGGACCCAGGGCTCTTCGCGGTTTTCGACTGCGTCTCTTCGGGCGTCTCTTGGCCGCCTCTTCGTACTCTGCTGAACAAAAGCGATCCCTCGCCCCCACGTGTACCCTGGTGCCGTGGCCCTGGAAATAGAACATAAGTTAAACGCCCGGTCACCGATTCCGATTATACGCGTTTCGCCGGATTTTATTCGGACATCACGGCCATTATGTCTTTTGACGGGCCCTGGGGGCTTCGGTAATTACCAACTTTCGGGGCACCGTGTATCCTCCTTGGGGAATCGTCTTCGAGCCCTCGCGAAAATTACACGTATGCTAAGTGGTGGGATTTAAATTATTATCATCCACCCGGTGGTTGGCCCTTGGTGTAGGGCCTGGTATAGCCCTCTTCTGAAATAATGATTATGCGCAATCGTTCCGCGTCGACCCTTTCCTCATTTGAATGCGATTTGGACTGGCAGTGGTGCCCCGAAACTGGAGCACCCACCCTGGGACACGCAACGATCGTCTTCGGGTTCTTGAAGAAGCTTCCTTCGATCAAGGGAACCCTGGAAAGTTCTAAGGAAATAATCTCAATTTTTTAATTTGCATTATGCACTTGGTATTACGTGATAAGAGCGATACGTGTGATTGTTAACGTCGTACCTGCGTCCAGGGAGAACCCCTGCCAAAATGATAGTGCCAGGGCGAACGGTAACATCCTAGGGCCCAACTCTCTTGGATGGCCCTTGTAACGCGCCATTAATCTAAACGGTTGTACGTAATGAATTATTTATACGGAAATTAGCCTAATGCGAGCCAGCGGTTTTGGTTTCGGCGAGTTCTTCGCCAGTTTTGCGAATCTTCGGTATTTCATGTTTTCATAAACCTAGTTAAGGTCGGCTTATATTGTCCAGGCGCGGAAACATTGCGTTTTCGGCAATACAAATATTTTTTTTATATACATTATATAATTTTTTTTATATACATAGAAATATTTTTTATATACATTTTATACACATACATATATATTTTATATAGCGGATCGGATCCATTCACCCACGTTGCGTTTCATACGTGCACCGTTCGGCATTGTCGACAAAAATGATTTCTAATAACATTAAGCTGAATTTCGATGTCTAAACAGATGATATAAATCGACCTTAAGAGTATGACTTTATGGAGACGAATTGTTAGCGCAAACATAACAATCGATTGTCCAACTTTCCCTGGTGATTCGGGCGGGTTGATGATTTCACGAGTTAAAATTAGAGTACTTATTGCGAGGAAGAATTTCGATCAGCGATTAGAGGTTCCTTTCAGCCGATCGTCACGGTAAAGAAGTTCCACCTAGAGAAATCCGTTTCCTCATCGGTATAAATATTATAAAAAATAGCCGAGTACATCTTAACCCTTAACGCTCCGACTTTTAATTGTGAATATCGACCGGGAATTCCAGCTTATTCTCATCATACTTCAACTTGCAAGTCGGTCAGATCGGTAGTGCTGGAGAGGCATACTTGGAGTAGAAAGCCGCACATCGGTGGTGCTTGAAAGGCACACTTGGAGCGTTAAGGGTTAAAGGGAATAATGGAAGCTAATTGTCAGCGTAAACGTAACAATTCATTGTCAAAAGTCCCCCGATGATTAGGGTGGGTTTAGAGTTCTGCAAGTTAGAATCGGTGTACTCGTTGCGGTGAGAAATTTCGCTCGTCGATCGGAGGAAGAACTTCTCGACCGATTCGGCAAAGAGGATCCATCCAGACGAATCCGTGTCCTCGTCAATGAGACCGCTTCGGGGAAGCCGAAGTCCCTCGACCTCGTCGTAAACCTCGGCCCATCACCTCGGGGGTGGACGGTCCATCTAGTGCATTCCTAAAGTCTGCGGTACGGAGGATCCTCTCGGAATTCCGTTCCAAGAGGATCCTCCTCCTCCCCGGGAAATGTCCTCGGGCCTTGATGTTTCTATGCTGGCGACGACATTCCCCGTGGGAGCTCCGATCATTATAATTAACGATTCTTTCGCCGGCAGAAGTAGCCTAGAGCAAAACCCCCTAAAGGGGATATCAGCTCCGAAAGGACTACGTGGAATTTCGGTCTAAGTGATAGTGCCGATGTGGTTCCGAGATGCGTTGGGCGGTGCGGGGCCGGATCAGGGTCGGTTATTGGAACTCGAGAAAGAACCTTGGATGAAACCGTAGACATGCAAATGATCCGACTTCCAAACGGCGCTTGGTTCTGCCTTCGCGGTCTTTGCCCACAAATAATACCGGCACGTCGCTGTTACACCTCGCCTATGAAAACAGAAAAGTATTCCAGTATCGAGCTCGTATACAAACGTCGGAAAACCTCGGTAGAGTTGCGCGACAAATACATTTAAAAGCCTGCGCGAACGGCACCGAATACTTGACGCGGAAATTCGGCGCGTCAATTCGAGCAATATTTATTTCTCAATTAAGAGAACTTATCATGGATACATTTAAACGTTAAGCTTACCCAGGTACAGGTCAAATCTAGTCAAATCCGTTTCTATAAGGTTTAAAAGTGCACTTTTCCCACCTCTCGTGAGAGAGCATCATGAAAGGGTTCTTGGTGTATGTAATCCCGCTGAGTATGATGCGTTAACATGCCTAGAGTGACAAAAAAAAAAATCAGAACTGCGGGGGAAGTGACGCATGGGGTAAATCTAGTTTCAATTGGTTTTTCATCTCCGCCGCGTTGACGCACCGTCTTCAGTATGACACTCGACGTGTGACTTCTCAGTAATACTCGAAACCTATCTACGCGGCGCTGCAAAATGTGGATTAGTTTCAAGAGACGGTCGCTAGACGGCACCACTCGAATTTTCCCCAGTTCAAGAAAATCTGTGAAAGCGAAACTCGAATTAAAATGACGCAAACGGATCCCATTCTCCGGTGATTTGGACGGCTACTAACTACTCGTTTAAACATAACTCGTAAAAAATATTGTTTTGTAAAAATGCGAATTCGCGCGGTTTTCATGTGTCTTGTAAGAGAGCAGCACGAATGTTTTCTTTCCGTCATAGGTTGTATAAAGTGTGGATTAGTTGCAGAAATGAATGGGTAGATGGCGCCACGTGGGGTTTCCCCAGTTAGAGGTTTGAGAGCATAGCATTGAACTGAGGTGGCGCAAATGGATCCCACCTTATCGATGACCTGGACGGCTGTCAACTGGTCGTCAAACAGATATTTCTGAGAACAACGGAGGCTGCCAGTTTGCAGATGGGGTGTTAAGTTGTTTCTCACCATATGTCATAACCTTCGGAAAAGTTCACTCGAGTTTAGCTTGAAGTTGACACACAGGTAGAACATGTCCACGCGGTATATTAGGAAGGTCTATGGGAACGATTTGATATCGAAACCAGAGCGTGGTAAGGAAAGTGACAGCGAGAACTCACCAGTTGCAGCTGGAGATGATAAGAATTTTAATGTGTTCAATCTGGTGAGTACCAAGGACAAAACTGTAATGCCGAAAATATCAGGCAAGTTTAACAAATTAAGTTGTTGACGTGTCATGTCTTATCAATGAATCAAAGTACAATGAATAGTGGGACGGTAAAGTTATTTCTAATCCGTACGATGGTATGTACAGTCCGTTTGAGTGCTCAATTATCTCTCGTTATTTCATAGTTGACAGAGGATTCGGTAAGTGGCAGTAATGAGGACGAACATACTGCTACCGAGCAGAATGTCGTCCCTGACGAGACTAAACGAAAGAAGAAGAAGAAAAAGCGGAAGAAGCCTGGAGCTCCTAAGATTCAAGATAGCCCTAAGAGTAAATTAAAAGATAGCGAGAATGAAGATGAAATCGAGAAGATGGTCAAGGAAGTGAACAAGTTGCTCGGTGAACCCACTCCTGGAACCAGTAAAGAAAACCCGGAGACTTCTGAAGCTCTAAAAAAATCCAAGGAGAGCATGTTTACAATCCAACATAAGCACTTGAACCCTTTCAATGAACTCAAGAGGATGTTTGGATCCAAAACTGTTCAAGCCGATCAGAGGTACGTCGTATTTCACCATATTTCAGCACAGATTTAGCCAGAAATCTGTAGCGTACATTACATGATTTTAATCTGTCTAATAAAAAAATTAGTAAAAGGAGGAACAGGGATCGCATTCACTTGAAGAGGACCTGGTTGGTGTCACCTCGAGATAGATGGCTTCCAATTGGTAAATCTGGGTTGACAATGTCCTTAGATACCACGGAGACCAGAGATGGCATCCAGTATTTTATATACGAACACACGTCATCCTACCAACAGGCACAGCTGAAATTTCTACAAGCAGTGGAAAGCATGAACCCCGAGAACATAATTGTAAGCACTTGCTCTACATTTATTAATTACTCCTCCCACTAGCCCGAGTTGAAATTGATTTCTGAATTTTAGAACGTCATAAATATGCATCCCTACCATGTGGATGGATTACTTCAGCTGTCGGATTTGTACAAACTCAGCGAGGATCTCCCGATGGCAGCAGAGCAAGTCGAGAGAGCCTTGTACTGTCTAGAATGTGCGTTCCATCCACTGTTCAATGTGACCACGGCTACTTGCAGATTAAATTACAGAAGACAGCAAAATCGTGCCTTGTTCATAACGCTCTTTAAGCACTTCACCTTCCTAGGTGGTCGAGGATGTTACAGGTACGCCTTATAATTATACATTTCCCGTTTGCAGGATTCGCCCTTAAAGTTCGTTCTTTTCTTAAAGGACTAGTTTGGAGTTCTGCAAACTCCTCCTATCCTTGGACCCAGAAGGTGATCCACTGGCAGTAGTGCTGGCCCTAGACTTTTACGCGCTGCGAGCTGGCGAATACGAGTGGTTCATCGAATTTTGCAGCTTTTGGGACAATGCGAGGAACTTGACCCAGCTACCAAACGTGGCGTACAGTTTAGCTCTCAGCCACTACTACCTGGGAGAACGAGAAATCGCCGATGAGCTTCTTCAGAACGCCCTGATTATGTTTCCAGGAGTTCTATTTCCTCTGCTGAATAAATGTAGCGTGCAAACCGACACTCAAGTGAGCGACTGTAAAATCATCATTTTTATACCTCCGAAAGATCTCATTTTAATTTAATTTCCCGTTGATTATAACAACCAGGTCACGAAACACGAATTCTTTACCATGAAAGCCACCTCCTCGACCAGTCCTGCTCTCGAGAAGTTACAAACATTGTACGTAGCTCGCAGTTTTCCTTTATGGAAAGACGCCGACATTCTGCCGTGGTTGGAAGAGCAAGTCCACGTGGTGTTGGCACGGGCGGACTCCAGTGACGAGTTCGTCAAGTTTTGCCAGGAAAAGAGAAGCAAACGGTACCGAGGGAATCTTCCTAGGAACATCGTGAGGCACATTATACTCTCCGACATAAAAGAAGTTACGGTCCAACTGCAGGAGGTACTTTTTCGACACTCTACAACGCCTTGTCTAGATATTTATACCAACCGTATATGTCACTTAAATTATTATATTTACAGGATTACAACAGACCGATGTTGTCACACGATCCGTTGCCACCTACAGACTCGATCGACCTGTATGCAAGGCCTAGGTCAGGGGAGAGACGGAACCAGCAAAGTTCAAATATTTTGTCGCTCTTCTTTTCGTCCCTTTTTGTAGACGTAGAAGGAGACGTCGTGGCAGCGGCTTTAAATGGCTTCAATCTATTGTAAGTTAACCGTAAAAAATCTTCCACGGATAAAAAAAAACAATCTATTAAATAACTTTGACCTTACATCGCAGCAACGAGAACGGCCAAAATGATGAAAATGCATAATACGTGGGAACCCGAGGGTCGATATCTTTCCAAAGGGATTGTTATCAGTGGTCTACAAATGTTTTCCGAAGCTAGCTGTTCACGTGTACGTACGATCACTTCCCCAGTGCGACGAAACAATATCTGCAGTACACCTGCACGACGGTGCTAACTCAATCATGTTTTAAGAAGTCTGTAATCGACCTATCTGTAAACTCACCAATGACTTATTAAGTTAAGTGCAGTCCACTCTTGTAATATTCTGTATACAGCGTACACGATGGAATCTATAAAAGCTAATGGATAGATCGGTTGCTGATTGTATCCGAGACGATGCTCTACTTATAAACGATGACTTACATGCTCATCGTTGTCCCTGTCCTTCGAATTAGGTATTCTTCTCCTATATTTATGTGCATTCAGGAACGAGGAGTAAGTCAAGAGAGGCCACCGCAAATAGACGAGCATGCTTAAAAAACGAATTTCTATTTTCCAACACACTTTTCGTATGTACAGCTCTATACAGTTATCCTTCGGTTACTTTGCTCTTGCGGTTTTGTTCCTATCGATTTTTTTTCTTTTTCCCTTTCTTTAATACTCGTAGTATATTATCAATGTTTAAAGTTTTCTTTAAATGCGTAGTTTAGTTCCTTATACTGTCGATGAGCATCATGATGTGCTTGTGTGCGTACGCTATAATTCATTGGGCATTTCGCGGAGCCGAGAGACCCACTAGCTCCCTCGGGAGAGGTGGGCCAAACTAACGTAAAAAATAGAGAATTCGATGAAATGCCACGGTACCCGCCTCATACGCCGACCGATCTCGGCAACTGACGAGTTCCCTGAATGCCCGCCTAGTTCGTCCACGTTTTGCAGCGCGACTTCGATTTCCTGCGGTAGAATCTTAAGGGGATCTGAAAGTGCCATCCGGAAAAAGTCGATCGTTCATGGCTTTTCTACAAACTGGATGTACCGAATCGTTTCAAACTTTACCACGTGAATAAGGAGACCCTAAAATAGGTCCTGAAACTCGGGAATTACGTTTTGCATTAAAAAATATTGAAAGTATGAAGAAATTAAAAATAAAAAAAATTGAAATTTCATGAGTTTTAGGACCATCCTTATACCCTTAATATTTATATTGTAATGTCATAGTCTATTCTGTATACCCAGTTTGGAAAAAATGTTTCATGGGCGATACCCCTTTGACGCCACTTTCACATCACCTTAAGGCGGATACGGATTGAGCGAACATGCTCTCCAATTTTGCCACACTAGCGAACATTTAGGTCATAAGGTCCGAACGGTTCAACCGATCCGCGACTTTTTTCTCAAAAGTTCGGCAATAGTTGCACGCTCGTTGGAGGATGTTCGCTCAATGCGTTCCCGCCTTTAGAAATCCGAATCCTGGCAGTATCTGTGTGACGAGCCTTTCATGATCCTACAATTGCCAATTGCGACGAACTCGTGCCGTATGAAATTAAATCATGCTACGGAACACGGGGTTGTAACGACAAATCCCTGGCCCGTGTTCCTGATAGTCAGTCTTCGTATGGCAAACACTGTAGAATTGTGGATCGCTCGCCAAGAGTGCTCCACCAAACCAAACGGCACAGCGCTGTTTATGGTGAGATATCACGTGGACATCGACAGGCTTTGGCTGTAACGAAAAGAAATTAGCCAACTCGATCTTGCGCCATCGAATTCGCTAGATCGGAATTGTCTGAAATAAATTACCGTAATGTGACCACCACTTAGGAGCTCACTCGATTTGAGCCTAGCATCGACGGTCCTTTTGATGTCTCGTTGCAACCGCCTACCGAAATCTTTGAACATGGTAGATCCCCCGGATAGGACGATGTTATTGTATAGAGGTCTTCTGACGTCAATCGGACAATTCTGAATGACGTCATCGACAATCTCGTTCAGCGGCGTTGTAAAATCTGGGTTAGAGAACTGCAAGAATAGCGTAAATGTCATTGAGATACATCTGAGCTTTTTAGCTGGTAGGTGCAAGCATCGGTGCAACGTACTTCAGGATGGAAAAAAATCTCTGGTCCAAGGAACCTTTCGTAACCAATGTCCACGGCAAAGGGCTGTTTAGTTATGCTATTCACGCCTTCGTATTTCCTGAACTTGCTAGGGTCACTGTCATATTTCGCGAATTCCTTTACAATGTCTGGACTAATGTAACAGTGCTTTTCCTTAATGACCTTGGCAGTTTCTAGGGATTGTTCGGGAGGTATTCCGACTTCTCTTTCCCTCAAAAGGCTCTGGATGAAGTAGGTAATGTCTCTCCCTGCTATCGGAATGTGTTTTATACAACTCCCAATGACGAACCCGTTCGCCTGTTTTGGAAATACAGAGTTTTGATTCAAGAGTTGTACGGAGGAAAAAAAATGCAGATGCATTGTATCTACACTTGATCTCAATGTGCTCTTACCACAGGGATAACATGAGTTACACCGTCACCACTGTCAATAACAACACCTGTTAGCTTTCTGTCCTTTACTGCCACAGCAGTCCAGGAAGCTGCCAGAGCTAGGACCGCTTGTACTGCTATATATAGTCCAGGAACATTGAACGACTCAAACATAATCTCTGCGATATACTCCCGATTCTCTGGAGTATTCAAAGGTGGTTCTGTCAGTAGAAAATAATGGTCCTCAGGCTCAGCTCTTAAGTACTTAAAGATGCACTGTTCTAGGAACCTTTCCATCAGGTCCCAGTCTTCCACGATACCGTGTCTTACGGGATACTATAACGTTAAAAAAGCTCTATGATACATCTGATATGTAAAACAGTCCTGTGTCTTAGCGATATTGCTAGCAACAACCTTAACAGCATATCCAGTAGCTTCGAAAGCTTCATCTCCGATATAGAAGTCCAAATCTTCGACACCCTTTGTTACTCTTCTAGCAGTATTGTCACCGACTTTCGCAGTTTCTTTTATGGCAATTGCAGAGGGTATCACTAGCTGTGGCTCTTTATTACTAGCAAAGCCAAGCTTTGTGTACCTATATATTCCAAATTAATTAACTTTAAAGGTGACAGTGGAGAATTTAGTGAATATCTCCTAATGTAAAACTAGAAGCGACCATAACTGTGAAAAGATTTTGTCCCATGACGTTACATTTTTTTGAGGCAACAATTCAATATTTTGTTCTATAAAGTTTAAATCATAAATAAAGCAAATTATGTCTTGGAGTATGTCTAGCTCCTCAAAAGCCCTGATTTAATTCACTGATCTTGTAAATATTATTACGCTGAATGTACATGTTTCTTTGTGCCTGTCTCGACATCTCGATACTTAAATTTAATAAAGCAGCATTGAAATCCATGAAAAGGCCTGAGACGTTCGAAATCTGGGCGTGTTTCGAAACGTCAAGTTTCATAGGGTTAGTCACGGTCGGCCGTGTTATTTCAAGATTGCTGCAGAAGTTTTCCAAGCCACTTACCCGGTTCCTACGTCAATTACGCAGGCGGGAAGGCGGCCGAGCACCATATTCTGTTGATTCATTAAACGCCTCGGTCTAAAAAAAATTCCTTCTTTCCGAAAATACGGCCTTTTTAACCGCAAAAGACCACACCGCACCACACCTCTGGTACGTTCAAGCTCGACAAAATTCAGAATCGCGACGGTAGCGCCGCTCGACGGATTTGAACGGAAACGCTCGTGTGCATCTGACTGTCAGAGTTCCACATTCTCTTTAAACGTATTTCAGGATAATTTTATTGCCATAATCGATGGTAATATCGCTCATCGGCCTGCAAGTAATTGTAGGAAAGATCAAATCGTACTAAGAATACATTTTCGTACAGTTTTAGAATGCTATTTGATGAAATGGTAGTGGAACCGGACACCGATCTACAGAGGCGTACGCGTATGCAGGACGAGCTTATCCAGAGCAGCACCTGGGAACAGAGATGAGTTGGAAGATTGGTCACGGACAGGACAGCGGGATCGTATTCTGTGCTGCCAAAGGTGCAGCAGAATGCAAGCGGCTCGTGCACTTCCCACTTGATACCTCCCAGGGCCAACTCAACTCTGCCCAGGGGCGGCCCAACTCAGGGATCCTCCTCATCTCTGCTTCCAACTCATCTGTGATAACAAATATATTAAATATTATATATAATAATAATAATTATAATGGTTTAATAGTTGATAAAAGTATATCTCAGTGCGTGTAACTAAAATTCACTAGTCCTCAACCAATTATTTAGTACAGAATTCATCCCTGAATGACAGTTGGGGAAAATAAGAGTTTATAGCAATTCATACATGAATTTATCATAAAAGTAAAAATTAGGTATTTCTACAAACTTATTCAGTGTCCTTATCACTACCGTCACTACCATTTTCTTCAGAATTTTCCTCAGAGATCTGTTCCAAAGATACAGGCAGTCGATCTCCCCAGTTACTGGATCTCGCACAGTGGTACGTCATTCTACAATTAATTAAATATTTATACAGAATGAAGCAATGAATATAGGAAAGGACCATCGACCACTTGATACAAACTTGCCAAATTTAGAAGCAGTAAAGATGACTTCTTTTAACTCCCCGGAAGCTGTACACATCCGACATACTGAATGTCGGGAACGAACTAAAACAGGCCTCACGATACGGGGCCATTTCTCGTCGGCGTCCGGGCGCTCACCTACTCAGAATAGATGAACAAAATTTTGTTTGAATTAATTGCCATCAAGGAAATTCCCAAAATGTATAAAGGCTAAAAGCAGGCATTACTCTTTTTGATGATTACGTAGGAAAACCGAGCATTGTAGAGGTGACTTTTCGGTCCAGGAATGTTAGTCATATACGGGACGCTGAAGTTACACGGAGTATGGTCCAATAGATATCTTGGGCACGCCAGATCATGAGGACACTGCAAACAAATGTAACTTATGAAGCAAGTCTAGTTAATCCTCAGATTATGAACTATTTCCCCTGTTCAAGTGAATAATTACCGGGGCGAATACGTAGGCTGGTTTGGGATCTCTTTCCATCCCTGACTTTTGAAGCTGTAAAACGAAATCCCTCGCTTCGACTATTACCTAGTTAAGAGCAATAAACTGTAAAACGCAGGATAGTATTTTGGATTTCTCCCGAGATACTATAATGTAATACATACTCCGAAACCTGCATTTGTCCCTTGTTCTACAAGAACCATGTAATGACCTGTTTTTCTCCAGAGCTTTAATATCGACTCGAGCCTCGCCTCGGCATTCGGCAGCTCTAGTAAGGAAAACGCGCTAACAGTGACATCGTAAGACGGCTGAAATAAAGATTATTCTATGACTGTTACCATGTCTACGTGTTTTGCAAATTTAAAATACTTACGGTAGGCGAGGCAGGAAAAAACTGACGTCTATAAACCGTCCGAACTTTCGGCATGGCGTTTTTTGCCAACTGTTCAGACAGATCATTCATTTCTACCGCAATATCCACGCCAAAATACTCCTTGATTGAATCCGGCCATGCTTTTGTTGCTGCCCTTATTGAGGAAAAATGTTACTGTAAAATATCTCCGACTATATCGAGCAGAAGAAGCATTTTTTCATGTTATGGAACACTTTCAAAGAATTATCAAGATCGGGTTATTAATCCGTGATTGTAAGGGCTTACCACAAAACTGTGCCGATGCCAGATCCAAAATCAAATATAGTCTGTGGCCTGAAAGTTGCATCCCTTGCTGTTATTTCTTGAAAAACCCTAGATAATATGGCAAAATCTGGCGCTGCCCTCGCCACCGCATACAATTTGCCTCTATGCGTGTTATACTCTATCGCGCCGGCATTACAAATTCGGGAATTGAGTAGTTTTAATACTTTTTTGTGGTTATTGTTCCTGAATTTCTCCATGTCCTCCAGCGGTGCGTCTTGCAGCTTCTGTTTTATCAGACCGGCATTTTGTAGGTCTTCGTACTTGTTTTTCATCTCACCCGACTCGATGGGTGCAAGTCGTCCTTGTAAACTCCTCCCGAATTTCTGTGCTTCAGTTCGAATTTGTTTCCCATATTTATCTGAACACAATTTTTAATTTCATGTATACTTCTCAACATTCATGTAATATTTTCTTATTACGGAAATACTAGCACCATTCATACATTTGGTTTTTCTCACGATATAAAGAGCCAACTACCTATCATAAAAACGTTGATTGCATTTTTAACCCATTCAGGCAATTCAACGATACTAGATTTGATGATCCCTGGATGCTTCCTCGGTTTTATATCCTCCTTCTCAATGAGCTCCTTCACTTCGGCGTTCAATTTCACGCTGACCTTCTGCGCAAACTATCATACAAATACAAAGAAACATTAAATAAAATTGCTACATAAAACAATGACGTTTTTCTCATTAAATCATTGAATGCATATTATCTTACCCGCCGAATCTGCGTTAACGTCGGTCGCGTTATCATGATTCCTGAAATCCAAGGAAAGGAGAAAACGTTAAAAATAATTTTTAAAGGATCTGCCTAGACACATAACATCTATGGCGTTTTTTTTATATCCTAGTTGATCCTAGTAATTATAATTATAATTATAATTATAATTGCTTAATAGTCGACTTTAACATTATGTACGTAGTTCAAACAAAATGTTCGATGCAACGTCACTGCCATCTCGCGGCGGTACGAGAAAGTTTGTCCACTAACAGATTAGCGTCTAGGTCCCTATCAGATACTCATGGCTTAACCTGCGAATCTGTGTATATTAGCAGCTACCCAAGAACGGTGTGCTGCGATCATTTTAATTCTTTATAAATAACTTTTGATTGCCTTCTCCCGACCGTGCGTTAGCACGGTGCTTCAAATTCTCGAGCGATATCCGCGAGATTGATCGCGCGTCGACCACGTCCAGGTCCTGCCAAGTAGGATGAAATTCGCGGAACATTTGAGTGCTCATATCACGCCAGAATGGAGAAAGCAATATATAAATTACGAGGTAATTTAGACGGAGATTATGGGAATGAGTTGGTATCGTTTTCTGTGGAATGTATGCAATTTGAAAGCCATTGAGACCGGTCTCCAGAGGGCTTGTATACTCACCGCACTCGGAGAATCGGAGGTCGCGAGTCGCGAGGATGAATTTTCTCGAACTTTCCTTTATTTCCCGCCTTCTTGTCAGTGATAAACAAACGTGAAATTATTCTATCGGTTATCTGAGCATAGCTATATCAACACGCATTGACGCAAGGCGATGTGCCACTGTGCGTGAAAATTGTAGACGTCGAACCCGATCGCGGTTGAGGTTCCCAGTTGGCCGCCATCTTGGGAAAATGGCGCGCGATTTCAAACGTAGGCAGGGAAGTTTAGAACGTAATTTATCGCGATGTGAAGTAAAACGGTATGTTTAAGATGAAATTATGGCCTAATGGCTGGACATTTTAAATGAATGTGTATATTTTAGGAAATGAAGGCTTTGCTGTATGCCGCGGTCGAGCAAGCCCCTGCCGCGGACGCGACAGAGCCCCACGTTCTCGAGAGATACTTCAGCAAATTTGACGAAAAATTCTTTCATTACTGTGACAAAGAGTTGACCAAAATTAATACGTTTTACTCAGGTACGAAGGCCCGTTTATCTTTTAATTACTTGTAAATCTTAAGACCTGTGTCCATGTTCAATTAACATTGTCAAAGCTTTTTGTCAAATCTTTTACTTCTTCTTGGACGTTTTAAGATGGCGCTGCTACTTGGGAAGACGTTTCTCAATGCTGCCACACAATTCCACATCATTTAACTAAGATTTACGCTTGTTCAATAATTTGTTCAATTACTGCATACACTTTATATCACGACGAGGATACATAATTATATCTTGTATGTATTTATATTTTTAAATTATCTATCAATGTATCGCATCGGAGATTTTTATCCAAGGCGCTAGTGTCGACGATGAAATTTCTATTCCGTTAGTTATAAAGTCCCGCGTTACTTTACGTTTTTATTCTCAAAATTTGACAAAAACTTGCAGAAAGGCATCGAGAAATTACCAGATAGGCACAAGGATCTTGACAAGGATCTTTGACAAAGTTCTTTGATTGTGGATACATGCTTTTAGGTGGAGTTTAAACCCACCACGCTTGGGAATCCTTATTCATTCTAGACTAATATATTTTATAAGAATCATTCGTATTCAGAAAAGCTGGCGGAAGCAACCCGGAGGTTTGCGAATCTCAGCAGTGAATTAAGCGAAGTCCAAGCTGCCTCCGAAATGCCTCGGTCAGGGAAAGCTGGATACAAGGGAAGAATTCTGCACAAAAAGCCCGTCTCGGCGCGCAAGTTACAAGAGCTCAAGCTGGCCTTTTCCGAGTTCTATCTCTCCTTGATATTGCTCCAAAATTACCAAAATCTCAATTTTACAGGGTTTAGAAAAATTCTAAAGAAGCACGACAAAGTGAGTATCCAAGTGTGCAGTGGAAAAGCTCTTAAATCCTTTTCCAGATTCGTCATCGTCATATCATATTCTTCATATCTTCATATATCGTCAAGGTTGTCTACGGCTTTTAGTAAATTTCGGCTGGCTTTAGTTATTAAATATAGACATAGGCGCTAAATGGAGGGCGGAGCACGTGGAGACGGCATTATTCCACACCCGGAAAGACATAGATAGGCTCATTTCGGAAACCGAGGCCGTATTCACCCGCGATTTGGAACACGGGGACCGCCAAAGGGCCATGAAGAGACTCCGCGTCCCTCCTCTGGGAGAGCAGCTCTCTCCGTGGATGACTTTCAAAGTAGGCCTTTTTTCTGGCGCGTTTATTGTGCTCCTCGTAACCGTCGTTCTCTCGGGTGAGTGAAAAAAACCTTTCTGCCAAAGTGCCCAATACATCATGCCACTCGGGTCATACAATAACGCCGTCATGCGTTCCCTTTTAGGTGTGTACTACAAAAACAGAAACGACTGGAGGGTGCTGTGCCGACTTTACAGAGGCCCGCTCCTTATGATACAGTTCTTCTTTTTGATCGGTATTAACGTTTATGGATGGAGGTCTTCCGGCGTCAACCACGTCCTGATATTTGAGCTTGACCCCCGGAATCACTTATCGGAACAGGTGATGCCTCATCACTCGAAAGAGATTAGGTTCTTCAAAGCGGAACGCCTTTAAATATATTTTCATCATCTCTCCACCGAAAGTCCCATTTTCAGTGCTCGTCGAGCGTGGCGAAAGTTGCTTATTATGTGCTATGTTACATTTTACCTTCCTTAGGAAGAAAGTAGTTACTCTTTGTTCACATAAAGAGGTGCTTGAGAAGAAAAACATTGTTGGACAATTGGTGGCTTATCAGTCTCTTGGGATTGATAGGATGCTGGGTGGAGCGTTTTCATTAACAAATTTCTTGTACCACTAAATGGTTTATACTTGTTTAAAAGAAATGTATAAACAATTTCGAAAAATTGTCCAATTATCGATTTCACTGCTATATTGTCAGGTCTCGTCATTACTAGATAGACATTCAACAACCGGACTTTCGGTTTGTAGGGAGGATGAAAAATAGCATGCATATCTCGGAAGTTCAGTAAGCGATTGCGACTCATGTTTCCGCCCTCGCTTTGCTCCTGTGGGAAACTTACCCTCGTGCGTAATTGCTTATTTTCCTCCCTCGTTACGTAATACATCATTCTTTCTCTAACATGAAAAATTTGTACAATTCTTTTTTAAACGTTACGTCGGGGTTTCACTTTCAGCACATAATAGAGATGGCGAGCGTGTTCGGATTGGTATGGTCTCTATCGATCCTCGGCTTCTTGTACAGCGAGACTTTAGGAGTACCTCCCTTCGCGCAACCGGTAATTGCCTTCCAGAGTCCGGTAAATAGTAGGTAATGACATATCCTGGGAATAAAGCAGTCCGGTTCCAGGTGATATTCTACACGCTGGTAGCGCTGTTTCTGTTCAACCCGACGAGGACCCTGAAACACGAGGCCAGATTTTGGGCCCTCAGCGTCCTGGGGCGGATTTTCTGCGCGCCCTTTTTCTACGTCAATTTTGCCGACTTTTGGGTCGCCGACCAACTGAATTCTCTTCATACAGTGTTCTTGGACCTCCAGTACTTCGTCTGCTTTTACATTAAGAATTCGTCCTGGACCGAGGTCAACGGTAAATCTTTACTCCCACGCGTACTTCTGACCGTGGACCGTCTCCTTTCTGGCAACGTTATTTATGAAAAATATACTTACCGAACGATTTATGCAGATGTGGAGTCCTGTATAATACACGAACACTCCATGAGGCCGTTTGTGGCGTGTCTGCCAGCATGGTTTCGTTTTGCACAATGTCTGAGGCGATATCGAGACACAAAGGAGTCCTTCCCCCACCTGATAAACGCCGCAAAATACGCGACGAGCTTCTTCGTCGTCGTCTTCTCGTACCTGAACCTCACTTACGCCAGTAAGTACGGACCTATTTACTAAGGTGATTTATCCCTTTGTAAATCCTAACAAGTGGTGGTTTTTCTTCACAGAGAATTACGAGGTGTCTACAGAAAACCCATACTTTTATCTCTGGCTGATGGCGAGTATCGTAAGCTCTTGTTTCGCGTACACTTGGGACGTAAAGCTCGATTGGGGTCTCTTCGACGCCCACATAGGAGAGAATAAATTTCTGCGCGAAGAAATCGTTTATTCTTCCCCGGTGAGTTAATTCTGCTAATTAAGGGGATGTGAGGAGTGGCATCTGAGAGGTCGATCGTTCATGAAACGAACTGGGAGTATCGAATCGTTTCAAATTTTACAACGTCAATATGACGTCTATGAAGATAGTCCTGACACATGAAATTTCACTTCTAATACAAAATTTAAAAAATACTTATTAACAATTTAATATTCACTCGTATACCCATATTCACATTGCAAAGTTTAAAAAGATTTGGCAAATCCATTTAGGAGTAAAGTTTCATAAACAAAATCTCATCGACGCCATTTTCACATCACCTTAATCGAAGAGTTCCAAATGACTCCAGAAATATAATTGATTCACTTCTGTCGCAGTATTACTATTATTTCGCGATCGTCGAGGATTTCATCCTGCGGTTCGGATGGGCCTTCTCCTTATCTCTCACAGAAATGGGATATGTTCACGCGGATTTAATGGTCTCTATTGTGGCGCCATTAGAAGTGTTCAGGTACGCAATAAAATGGTCTTTAAACCTTAACAGATTTACTCCCCTCCATTCCTCTGCAAGTCTTACGAGTTTGACGTGCATCGTTCGCCAAAGTGTGTTTATTTCGTTTTAAAACGTTGTTTCATACTTTTTCAGTTAAACATAACATTGCACTAGTCATTGTTGCAGTTTTTCGGTTTTGTTGACTCTTATTGCTCGTGTCAATTTTAATCTCCTCGGTACGACACTCGTCTGCTATGTAATGTTGCTTGAGAATAATTAAGTAAAAATGTAAACAAAGACCAAAGTCGACGGTCGAACCGATGGGACTAATGTTAATTTGCATTGTTAATTTGTTCCACTAAACGGTGTAATTTAAAGTAGGTAGCTGAAGCGTATGCAAGCTTTTTATATGATCACCCCGCTCATACTAATTTTACCTGGTGAACAAATCAGTAGAAGGTACGTATGGAACTATTTACGACTGGAAAACGAACACTTGAGCAACGTAGGCAAGTTCCGAGCGGTTCGGAACATATCCATAGGACCGATTGGACTGGATAACGAAACATCGGATGGGAAGTTTGCAAATCAACTCTGCGATGACGATGATCACGACGAAGACCGCGAATTGGTCAAGAAGTACAAGCCAAAACGACGCACTTTTGACGCGGATTATTTTTAGAAGTACCTATGCCTTATTCGTCTTACCATTAATTTTAAATAAACGTTCAGACGGTGCATCTTCGATTTATCTACGAACTACAAAACTGGATTCTGTACATTTCATGACGCCATATTTACTTTACAATCACCATCATCTTGTATGTTCTCCCGATTCGGATTGAGATAAAAATTTAGCTCGTCGAAATATGACTCATTGTGGATTTTGATTAAATAATTAAAAAAAAAGAAATACAGCCGCTCAACGTTATTAAACGATCGTTTGATAAATAAGCCGAAGCGACGTATTTTTGACACAGACTACTTTTATAAATATCTGTGCCTAATCCATCTTACAATTATTTTTAAATAAACGTTCAGTCGACGTATCATCGATTTTTCTGTTAATTGCAAAAGTGAATTCTGTACATTTCATGACGCCACATTCACTTTATCATCATCATCATCTTGTATAGTCGGATTGAGATTAAAATTTTGCTTGCCTGCATGTGGCTAGTTGTGGATCTTGATTAACTCAATATAAAGTAGAGGGTCGCTAGACGCTAATGAACGATCGTTTGACGAACAGGCGTTTTATGTGGAACTTCTTTCGCCTGGAGAACGAACATTTAAACAATTGCGGTAAATTCAGAGCAGTTCGCGACATTTCGGTCGCTCCGGTCGACAGTTCCGACCAGATTCAAATTCTGAGGATGATGGACGCACCAGATGGAGTTATCAATCGAAGGAAGAAGCAGAAGGAAAAGGATAAACGTAGACCAAATAGGCTTCTCCTAGAAGGAGAAGCACTGATAGACGACTTTGAGAATTAAATAAAAAAAATAGCAGAATAGTCAAGACCAAAGGTGGAAGAAAGTTGCACAGGGTCGCCCCGGAAAGACACGAAGATGTACTCTCACTCGTGGCCTAAGGACCCGGTTTTTGTCAAGATACTTTATCGAGTTGACTTTGTCATTACTAGATTTACAGATGTTAATGTTTGTGATTACATGTGCGCTTCATCGGAGCAATCTTATCGTTCTAGTAACACGACCGAAGCGTTATTCACTCACGATATCACACGTTTAGATGCTGAAAATCAGCTCGAAACAATTGATTATTAAATAATATAGCACGTTGGAATTGTTCGAAACAATTGGCAACGATAAAACTTGTAAAGAATCATTTGTTATCGTTCGGTACGGGAGAAATCGCAAGTAGAATATCAGAAATCAGAGGAAATCGTTATTAATCGCAGAAATGACGCCGTGGACATTTTAATCTCAAAAGTCATTATTGAATTTCATTGTTTGTCACGTGAAATCAATGGTAATCGATTCTTGAAGAAGGTAATCGAATTGCCTAACTTCCGAGTGAATAGCCCCTCGAATACGACGCTTCTTCGCATTTACATAGGAAATAGTTAATTAGCTCGTCCCTGATGAACGATCAAATGACAAATCAAAAGGCGAACAAACCTGCTCTAGTCATACTTGAACTCTAAACTGTACTTTCTGTGCAAGACACATCGAATGTAAATATTTAAATCTCGACGCTACTGCGGATTCATTATGGCTGTATTATATTTCTAAGGTGTTCGGGCCATACTGAGAAAAAAAGAATTCATTGAGCCAAAGAAATATTTCTAATAACAGTACCAGTATTTCGTTAAAAGAAAGAATAATTATTTGACTCAAATAAATTGTCATAATTCCGAAGGAACGTTGCATCCGATTTATGGGAGTTTATTCGAGCCAAGTAATTATCTTTTGAATTAACAAAATATATTCTTTGGTACTATTCAAAGAAATATTTCTTTGGTTCAATGAAATTTTTCTCTCAGTGCAGCTTTTGTCCCGCGATATCTCGTGATACCGTATATAATTTCGAGTATATTATTTTTCTACGACATCGTTAGCTGTAATCAGCCCCTAGACCTTGGAGGAGGTCGGATGCAAAGGGTGCATAAAATAAAGGAAAAATCCCGCACCAGGTGCATCCGCCTCGGTTCCGAAATATGACTCGCGTGTATCCGTTCAAGCATCCATTAAGAGAATCTATTCATGTTGAATAAAAAAAATGGAAAAAGAATTATTTAAGCAGGGAATTCGATAAATCTGAGTCCCTTCCCCCGCTAAGTGAAACTCAAGGAAAGGGCCAATTACCTCGATTTTTCATCGTTTCGCGTAAACAGACGCAGGCGGTTTAGCGCACGCGCGACTCAGCACCAAGTACAACCTAACGTTATCCACGTTGAATAAAAATATAAAAAGGAATAAGTGAGACAGAGAATTATAAAAATCTTCCTCGCGAAGTGACGAATCTTGAGAGGGGATCGTCCAATTTAAAGCCAATTACCTAGATTTAACGTCGAGTCGCGTAAAGAGACTCAGACCGCTCGGCGCACGCGCGACCGAGCGGCGAACTGCTATCCCCATTGAATAAAAAAAGTGGAAAAAGATAATTAAGGCAAAGACCTAAAAGGAAATCTGAGTCTCCTCACGAAGTGACGAAACTCGAGGGGGGACCAGTTTAAGGCCAGTTACCATGACCTTACGTAGCATCGCGTAAAGAGACGCGGGCGGTTCGGCGCACGCGCAAACGCAGCGAGCGAGTGCGAGCGGAATTCGAGAGCGAGCAGAAGTGCGCGGAGAATCGCAAGAGGAAAGTCGCAAGTGCTTTGGGGACACTTGCGAGCAGGTGCGAGCGATTCGCCGAGCGAGTGGTAATAGAGAAGAGGTACTCTTCAGGGTCCGCGAGAGGAGGCGCCGAGGAAGGGGACGGTCGTGGCCGAGGACGGTATCGATTGTCGGGAGGCCCGGTACACGCAAGCTCCCTGGCTCGCTCTCTCGATGAATGACTCGCGGCCGATACACGTGCCAGTGGACGGGCAGGAGTGCTAATCGGGGAAGGAGGGTCGGCGGCGATCGGGTGCCCCTCTTCGGGATCGAGATGACCGGGCGCCAGTTCCTCGTCGTCGTGGCGCTCTTCGCTGGCCTCGGCCTGGCCGAGGTTCGCTACTTCCGAGGTACGTCCGCCAAGGCTCCTATCGGCCCACCGGAAGGCAGCTGATAAGGAGCGAGTGTGCTCGACGGCGCGAGGTCGAACCTTGATGACCTGGTGTCCGTGGTCGAGCCTCGAGCAATAAATTCCCTCGGGAATTCTACCTAGAATACTTGACTTTCAAGCTTTCAAGAGGGGTGTTAATGTCCTAAGTGATGGAGGTCGAACCCCGAAGAGAGGACCTAGAGTCGGTGGTCGACCTGGAAGAACGATTTTTTTTACACGAATTTTTCCCTACATTATTTCATTTTCAATGCCTTGGAGGGTGGTGATATGCGCTCGGGTCGAACCCTGATGAGAGGACCCGGTGTTGGCGGCCGATCTGCAACAATGATTTCCCTCTCAAAGTCTTCCTAAAATATTTCATCTCTAATACTCACGCTTTGATGAGTGGTGTTATGCACTTGAGGTCGAACCCTGAAGAGAAGACCTCGGGTCGGTAGTCGATCTGGAGCACTCTTTTTCTCTATACCCCTTCCTAGAACTCTTTATCTTGAACGCTCGCACCTTGAAGAGTGGTGATAAGTGCTCGGCAGGTGTCAGGGTCCTCCTAATCCAGGATTAAGAAATAGGAAGATTAATGTTACATTATCCATATATATGTGCATACATCTGTAGATCGCGAGGTTCCTGAAGACCCGGCCTCGAGTTACCCGGAGAGGCGTGGATTCTATGGAGAACCGATTAGGGAGATTCTATGGAATCTCCCTAATCGGTTCTCCATAGAATCTGGGATTAAAAAATTACATGATTAATGTTACATTATCAGTATATGTGTGTATTCATCCGCAGATCGCGAGGTTCCTGATGACCTGGCCACGAGTTACCCAGAGTCGCGTGGATTCTATGGTGAACCGATCATAAGAGCCATCCTGGAGTGGCGGGCGCAGAATCCGCACCTGGTCGACGCGTTACAGGAGCTAGAGAGGATGCAGCAATCCAGAGGAAGATTTTTTCCCTGGTTGAAGCAGGCAAGCCACAGAAGGCGTCGTCCAGAAGACGAGGATGCGCCCTTCCTGGATTTGGACACAGCAGTTCTTGGAACCTGGCCCGAGTTCACCTTCGAGTTCGATGAGGCGAATCCTCAAGAGGAGAGACCTTTTGCAGTGCGACCGAATGATCCTCGATATTATCAGGATACTTCCTTCGACGAAGGTGAGGATACAGGTAGGTGGACCATTAACCTTCGTCTTCCTAGCCCCCCAAATCTAATCATTGAACAAATTCATTCGATTGACCGAATTTCGTTAATTTCAGAAAATGGTCGAACGAACTGAATTTCAGTTCACTTGACCAATCTTGTCTTAATCAACTAAAGTAAACGCCACGCACTCCAGCTATTAATTTTTTGGGAAATTCTTTAGTCGATACACCCTGTATTTTTATGAAAGGTACCAAATTTCTTTAATATTTGATATCATCCGCCACGGTACTTGATGTAATTAACCAAAAGTTACTTACCAATGAATTTTGTCCTATCAAATATATGGCCGGGTAATAATTATGTTCTACGATTGAATCAATATAAATTGTATCGAATAAACCAAGTATTTTTTTGTGGGTGTTAAAAGTGGCTTCGACCTTATCTGTAGGTCCACAAGAGGAGTCCGGCTTCACTGAAACAACTCAAGGAACAACTCAGGAAATAATTCAGGAGATGACTCTTCCGGAGTCGGACTTCATGCCCGACACCGAGGTCATCTCAAAGCAGGGGAAATTTAAAGAAAAGGAAGAACAACCTGAAGATACCATGCCTGAACCTCACAGGAGGGCGCAACACGATCCTTTGGTTCTCCCCGTGGGTCAGGCATTCACCAATGATATATATTTCATCGGTATGTCACCCACACTTTGAAAAAAAAAATCATTCATTAAACGAAATAGTTTGATTACATTTGGTTAATTTCAGAAATACGGTCTGGCCGAATGAACCGAACTTCGGTTTCGGTTAAATGTGCGAGATTACTCTAATATTTGGTGCGATCTACCACAATATTTCATGCGGACAATTAAATATTATTTAATGAATTTTGTTGGGTCAATATGAAAATTGGTCGTCCGCATAATAGCTATGCATATGGTTGAACCCACATGAATTTTATTCATTCAACCGAAATTTTCTGCGTGCAGGGGCTTTAAGCCTCTCTTTTTGTTATATAGTTTTGCGTTAAGTTATCAGAAGTGTTGATACAGAAATTTTCTATCTTCAGCTGTTGTGGCAGGATGCAGTGCTGCGGCTGTTTTCGCGCTGGTGCTTATCGGTCTCACCTGGTGCAGGTAAGACGGATTACTGCATCGAATGAGTGTATCACTTTTTATAAAAAAAAAAAAGGTATTCCGTAAAAGAAAACATTTTTACTTGATGTCATGAACACAATTTGTAGAGCAGATTGAATGAAATTAATACAATTTTTACACGATATTCAATCCTCTTTCTTTTAGCTCCTTAATTAATTAATATTAGATTTTCTGTATATAAACATTTTGGAATTAGAATTCCCGAGATTTTCAGTAAACTTTCTCTTGAGACTCTGTCACTCACCGATGAACTCATTCTTATATTAACTTAATTTTCTACGTCAAATATTAAATTGTTTGACAGACACAAAGTTTTGCCCAAAAAAAATGATATAACTCTTATTAATAAGTACAATACCTGCATTTTTTTTTTCGTAAAATCATTTCCACTTGATACAAAATTGTCATCATTTGTCGATACTGTCTATAAAATCAATTTCGAAGCCAAAAAATATAGCAAGAAACGTTTAGATTGCTGCAAGTAAATTTCACGTAGAAAGTATATTTTTTGGTCAGGGTGTCTTGGTTAGATAATTTGTTACTTCTCATTCTTACCCCCTGTGTCTGATCCTTCGTTCAGGTTGCAACGTGGGGTCAAAGCAGCAGCAGATATCGAATATCCTGCGTATGGCATAACAGGTCCCAACAAGGACGTATCACCTTCCGGCGATCAGAGGTTGGCCCAGTCGGCGCAGATGTATCACTTCCAGCACCAGAAGCAGCAGATTATCGCCATGGAAAAGTAAGTAGAATTAACGTGAAGGAGTCAAGTGAACGATAACGAGATTTTTCTTACAAATTTCTTCAGTCGAACGGCTGCAGCTCGTGATCCTGGTTCCGTCTCCGAGGCCGAAAGCGACGAAGAGAACGAAGAAGGTGACTACACGGTATACGAATGCCCAGGACTTGCACCTGTAAGTTTAGTTTTTTTAATTAATCCCCTTAAGAGGGTCAATCGAAATGGGATTAAAAAAGAATGAAAACGCATTTGCCAAGCTTAAGGTGATATGAAAGAGTCATTCAATATATATAAAACATCAAAATATTATTAAACATTTCTCCAAACTAGGTGCACCGGATCATTTGAAACTTCAACACGTGATTATGGAGGTCCTGAGGAAGAAAGTGGTGCTCATGAAATTTCATACAAAAAGAATATATGTATTCTTGGTTCTAGTCTGGGATAAGTAAAAAGATGTCTTTATTCAAAATTAAATTTCACGAGCACCGTTCTTCCTCAGGGCCTTCTAATCACATCCTGTAGTTTCCATCGATTCGGTGAACCCTGTTTGGAGAAAAGTTTTGTCAATATTTTGACGTTTCATGTGTATCGAATGACTCTTTCATATCAGCTTAAAGGATCGAAGGAACCTTTTTTAACCGGAAATCCGTTTTTCAGACCGGAGAAATGGAGGTGAAGAATCCATTATTCCAGGACGATCCGACGCCTGCCACGCCGGCGCAAAATAACGAAGGGGACCACATGTAGCTCTCGTAAATCCCGGTCACAGGCCACCCAGAACCTACCCCCGGTGCTTAGTTCACTTTTCAACTGTCATATCTACAATGTTTACCTATATATTGGATTATACAATTTTACTATTTACACGAGGCGCGACGAGGCGGGCGGGAGAGTCCCGAGGGACTCCCAGGACTACAGCGACTGATCGACTACATTGCCCACGATTACGCTAAGGGAAACTATAAGTCTGTTAAATCGACGGAGTAAAAAATCATTCTTCGCTGTCAAATCGAATCACCGGCCGCCCTCCTGAGATTGTTTTCAATCAGTCGGTTGCTAATGAATCATGCAAGTGGGGACGGATTTTTTTTCGTTAATTCGAGCGATTAAGGTGATATGAAAGGGTCATTCTACATGCATACATGACACATAAAAATATTGATAAAACATTTCTCCAAACTAGGTACATCGAATCATTTGAAACTCCAACTCGTGAGTATGAAGGTCCTACGGAAGAACGTGGTACTCATGAAATTTCATAAAAAAAAATATGTATTCTTGGTTCTAGACTGGGATAAGTAAAATAAATTATTAAATATGATATTTTATGACCACCACATTCTTCCTTGGGGCCTTCATAATTACGTGCTGGAGTTTCAAATGATTCGGTGCATCCAGTTTGGGGAAAGGTTTTATAAATATTCTCACGTTTATAGATATAGAATGATCCTATCTTGTCACCTTAAGGATTTTCTTATTAATTCCCTGGTTTATTCGGGCGGCCCAGCGTTTATTCCAGAGACAGAGGGAAGGTTATTTTGCATAGCATCGAAAAGTCTGTCGATTAGAGGAGCGTTCGCTTTCGTGGAAAGATAATTGATTCGCTTATTCGTTAAGCTTGTACATCCCCGCAATTGATTCCGTCGAGTCGCCTTGCCAGGTTTTGGCAATTCCATTATTGAAATGATACGCTGAAATCGGAATTCCTAGAGCATGTGTTGCATGACTCTAGTCGACGCGCGTATGCACATCTCGGGAATGATCACGGTATTTTGATTTCATTCTGAAATATGGAATGACTCTCATTTTGTGAGAATGCTCGGTGCATTCAATTTTCGGATGCTTGATTATGACATGAAGGTACGACAGGTGCAGGCATTGTCAAAATTGCAAAATGTCTCGCAAGACTGTTCGGTAAGAAGTCTTGAACGCGACTTTTTTTTTTTCAATTTCTCAGTTAAACGTAAAACTGACGATTTTATTTTCCTACTTAATACTGGATTTTTCCTACAAGTTCTATTATAATAAATTTTCTCTAAATCTTAATTCGGTTCTGTTCCTATAATATTAGGTTGATGCATATGTAATGGCGTGTCTTCTACACGTTACGTTACGTGTTAAAAACGCCATTACTTATGCATCGACCCAATGTATTGACTTATATTGAATTCCGTTAAGAACATATTAATTGACATTAATATTTTTTATTTCATTCCATTCCAGTCTTCTTATCGGATAAGTAAGACTATATGTAATTATTACTTCAGTTCGAAGGTTCCGGTATGATCTAAAGTTGACAATGAGAAACGGACTAGTCCTGAAATAGTACTGAGGAATAGACGTAATTACTCCACTGTGTTATTAATTATACGCTAGGGTTACTTTTCTCTCATCATTTTTAATGTTGTACACGCAGATGTCTATATGTGGAACACCGTGTCCTCCATTCGAGCGTTTCGTCGTTTGGCTTCAAACCCAGATGCTAAATCTCGGTCTTGTCCTCGCAAAATGTGAATCTCGACAAGGACATTCAGTTAATTTTCCGAATACGCTTAAGTCGGGCCAAACAGCTTCGATTTTGGACCATTGGAAGTATCGTGAGCTGACGTGTGCTTCCAAGTGAACATTGTTAACTTTAAACGTATTGGTTGGGTCAAATGAGCACCATACAAATTTGTATACACGTAGAGAGTGGAGAACGCGAGAGAGAAAAAACCGAGGGGCTATTCACTTGGAAATCAATGAAATTGATTTCCTTCTTTGAGAATCGATTGTCTTTGATTTCAAATAGTAAACAACAATGCGATTCGGTAACAAGTGACGTTCGGCCTTAAAATTGCGACAGCATTTCCATTGATTTCGAACGATTTTCAGTGGTTTCTGCTTGCGATTTCCAAATCATTTCCACATGATTTCAATCCCGATAGAAATTCGTCATTACCATATGATGAGGAAAATCGATTTGCTAACAATTTGCAGACCATTTGCCGCATGAAATGCCTGGAATATATGTACGCACATTACACAATAAATTGGAACAAAAATTTGCGGTCAATTTATCACGCCATGGCTCAAATATGAGCTACAGACGCTTCAATTGTTTATCGGCAATGCGTGAGATAAATTTAGCTGTACACATGTGTACAAACATTGAGACATTGCATGTACTCAACTTTGTATCACATTTAAATATTTTTGGTTCGTCATTGTGTATCGCAGATATGAAATGTGAACTCATAAGCAACACCCTCGTAACTCGTTTCATGATCTTTCATGAGGCAAATTTTATGTAAATTTTCTATCACATTGTCTATCTGAGAAACGTTAAAATCCATGATTTCCTGAGGGAATACCCCCTCGGAAGAAACTATCTGGAGAATAGCCGAGATATATATATATCATATATCTGTACTTTTATCGCTATCGCTAGCCGAGACAGAGAGAGAAAGAAAGAGAGTAAGAAATTATGTAAAAAAGGAACGAGTTGAATATTTTATTTACACGGAGAAGCGTTATAATTATATATAATATATAAACATATATATATTGTGATAGTTATATGTACATGTTATTTATTTAGAACGGACACAGGCAGGCCTGGCTGGGGATCACTGACCGTCCTCTAGGAAGAAATTTTTATCTTTTTAAGGTGATACGAAAGGATCGTTCTATATATCAAAACGTGAAAATATTAGTATATAACTTTTATTAAAACTGGGTGCGCCGAATTTGAATTTTCCAAAAAAAAATTTGTTTATATTTAGCCTAGACTAGAACCAAGATTACATTTCTTTTTGAGAAAAATGAAATTTTACGAGAATCGCGTTCGTCCTTAGAGCCTTCATAATCACGTGCTGAAGTTTCATATGATTCGGTGCACCCAGTTTGGAGAAAAGTTTAATAATATTTTGACGTTTTATATATATGTATATAGAATGACCCTTTCATATCACCTTAATCACAGCCTTAAGCCAATCGATCGACTGCACGAGTTCTTCTGACTTACGCCGATTATCGATAAACGTCTATTGACGGGAAAAGATGACAAACGAAGAGAATAATCTTATCACCCATTTGGAGACTGGGGCCAGGTCTGCATAAAGATACGTAAATAGACCAGAGGGGTTCGACGTCTCTTTATCTTCCGGCATTTTATTAAATCCCGAATCAGCTGTTTTCCTACTTATCAAGAATTTCGACACGTACATTTACAATGATTTTTCTTATAGGCCGTATATTGCAGTCCCTCCTATCAGATATTAGACATTACGTCGTAATGAGACGACACGTATCCGGTGAACACTTTGTCAGGAATATTTTCCTCCGAGCGATGAATTATCATAACAATGCTTTGGCATGGAAATATGTGTAATTAAGAATTAAGCCGCGGACAATAGCTGTTCCGAACAACTCGATGGACAATTGATTTTTAAGTGTCATACTATCCCGTCTAGTACAGAGCTCACTTTAGAGGCACTAAATACTTTAATCTAACGAGTCCTTTACCGAGGTACTTAACTAAATGATATTTGTACCATAGATGATAACAGATGGAATTCTATCGATGTTGCGCAACGACAGACGCGTCGTAGGTAATTAATTATATTTTACAATGATTACGTACTTTCGCTTACCGCGAACTTTTCCTGCCGAATGTTCGCTTTTAGTTGCGTATGTGTAGTATATGGAGGTTTTTAGAACCTGTATGGAATGGTTGTATAAATTGATCGCTGTCAAAAGTGACAGTGATTACGTAGCACGAGTGTCCTGTTGTAATCAGGTCGGAAGGAAAAGTTCCCTCGCAGATGTTTCTTATATTGCGTTATTATCCAGGTACAAGTGATGAAACGTACCGTACATATTAATGGCATATAATGTACGGCAGAAAATCGGAGTACTATTATTTCTTCTTCCATTCGCTAAAAGGAAACCGTTAGCGCTTAGAGTGTGTTAGAAGATAATGTACTATTATTTTAGTAAATAAATGATTTATTTTATAGAATCACTCCCCAATGTGCGATCTCGGGGCGAATATGGGACTGGCGATCGAAGAATCGTCCTGGGAACCGACCCTGAAGGGTGCACGATGTGTTCGGCACCCTTCTTCAGGGTTGTCATGGAGATCAACAATGCTCATTGCAGCCGAGTTGGAAACAGAGAGGTATACACAATGTGTCATAGCATAATCTATACAGAACGCATTGTCGTCAGGTTGCTAAGCCTCGCCGGGCGCAAAGGTACCTGAAGATCTCCCACAAGAAAATAATTAACGCAAGAGGACATGTCGACTAAGTTGTCATCGCAAGCGTCAATGTCGACGTCACCAAGGATAATGTGTAGTAAAAGAGTTCCCAACGGAAGATCAACGATGCCGAAGAGACCGATCGAAGACGCCGAAGAGGCCATCTTGAACCTGACCTTGGTCGGCTCGCCGGCCCCGAGGTCCAAAACCAGGACGACCTTCTTGGCGAACGTCTCGACGAGGTCTAGACCCAAGTCTGCAAAGCGCAATCGAGGAAACCCCAGGACACCAAGATCAGAGGACCTCTGTCGATTTGCAGACGACCCTACAAAGTACGTCCGTGAACGTCGAGGGGAAATTTCAAATCCCGGGAAACAGTGCATCTCGACCTTGAGCGATTCTGGCGAACGGCGTTACTCTGGCGAGACCTCCGGAAGGTCCAGGATGTCGGAAGCTGAAAGAAGGGAGGACTTTTTATCAACGAACCTCGAGACCAATGCAAGTGTACTCACTAATGGAGAAGTTTCATCCCTTTCGTCGATGTTCGAAAGGTGCGACGTCGTTGCTGAAGAGCGCTTCGAGCTGAAGAATCAGCTACAGGGAGATCTCCATCGATTCTCCAACGACCCGGGGAAATATGCAAATGGTTTTAGGGAAGGCTCCGAGAGTTACCGAGGCTCCAGAGCGATCATTGGCAGTGCTTATGGTTCGTCATTCGATGGTGCTATCGATTACAGGAATAGGATTAATCCTGCGGTTGAAAAGTTCATGCTGGACACTGGCCAGTGCATTTTCTATGACGATATAGGGGTTACCTGCAACAAGAGCAGCTTGGAGGTAGTTCGAGAAGACGTGGAGGTTCCTGAAGAGAAGGAGGGCAAGACGTTTCCCATGGAAGGATCCTTGGGGAGTACTTCGAGGAGTTCGACGGAGACTTCGCGCAGCATCTTTAGTGGGAATTCTTCTAGTAATGGGACTTGGTACGACCATAGTTTGAACAGCGGTTATTTTCTCTCGCAGGAGGGTGAGACATCCATCGAGGCCATTGAGAGGAAGTATTCCCCGTTTGATGCCGAAGAGAGGAAGATGCACCTAGGAAGAGATCTGCATTCGAGCGATGACTGCACCTGTGGGAGAAAAGAGCTGGTTATTGATAAAGGAATTACAGATAGGGATCCTCGAGGCATCTTCAACGAGGACAGAGAAGAGTACCTGACGATCGTTAGGGAAGAGACCAGCAACGGAGATGAGAGCTCGATGGACGTCTCGCAACCTATAGTCTTTCTCACTGATAAGGTCATAGATGCAGAAGACATGGGGAATCGTCCCTTGGAGGCTTTGGAGAACACCTTGGAGGTTCGTGGGGCTGAAAAAGAGACCAAGAGAGTATTAGGAGTCCCGCTGAAGAACAACTCCGGTCGTACGGACAGAAGTCGAGATTCCAGTGATAGTGTGAGCACCGATTATGGCCTCGGCAAGATCTTCTTCGAGGCAGGAGATTTCAGCTCCGGGAGGAGGCGAGGACTCAAATCACCCGCCTCGTCCTTCGAGATCTCTGAAGGAAGAGCCAGGATATCCGGCGACTCTCGTCTCTGTTATTTAACTTCTGAAGAGCTGAAAGAAGCTAAGGAGTGCAGCAAAAGACTGTCTGCCATATTGGAGAGCGTCTCTTCAAGGATGACACCGCCAAGGTGTCATTCCGGGGGCCAGAGTTCTTACGATTTGGCCAATCGTCAAAGAATGTCGGCGAGACCAGTTCACGAGTACTTCGACTTCTCCGATATCCCCTCGGGTCGCTCTTCCATGTGAAGGTTTCTTCGTTTCTTCGACATTTCCTTCAAGAATCCCCATTTTGACATGGAATTAATATTTCTTTGACACCTGTCTTGTCAAAACTTCTTGTGCCTTCAAAAGTATCTCTTCACGGGTGACACTAAGGTCTCACTCTGGAGATTTGAATCCTTACAATTCGGGCAATCGTCAAAAAGTGTCGGCGAGACCAATCCACGACTTCTTTTGACTTCTCTGCCACCTTCTCAAGTCCTTAATCCATATAAAGCTCCCTTAATTCCTTCGGAATCTTCTTCAAGAATCCCGATCTCGACCCGAAAGAAACAGCATTTCCTCGACATCTGTGTTTCCAAAGTCCCGCCAGGTAACACTTGTGCCTTCAAGGTAGCTTCCTCATTGGCGCTCGGCGTTGATTCCACTTATCGGAGCAACATCATCAAGTATCGTTATCTCCGATATGATATCATCGGCAGCCAGGTTTGAACGCCGGTGCAGATTACTCATCGAGCATTCGACATAGCTCGGCTCGTGCTCAGCATTCGCGCCGTCGACCACATACGTCAGCATGGACCGGATCTCTTCAGGAACACATCTCATGTCATCTGCGCTGGCGTTGCTGGTCCTCCTGCCGGGTACAGACTCCTGGACCTGTGAAACGTGTTCCTGTACCGGATTCGGTGGTGCCTTCACCTTGAAGAGGAGAATCGTCGACTGTGGAGGCAAACTTCGCGAGGGAGGATCCACTCTTCAACTCGATGGTCTTCGAGATGTGGTCCAGTTGCAGCTCTCCAGCAACGAGATGGCCTGGCTACCGAAAGACGTCTTCGGGGAGCTGAAGAACCTGACGAAGTTGGACTTATCGTCAAATCTCCTCCGTGGAGTCGATCCACGTGCCTTCCAGGGTCTGCCGAGTCTGCAGATCCTTGACTTATCTGGTAACCAATTAAAATCTCTTGACCCCACTTGGTTCCAAGGAAATCCTGGCCTGACCGACCTTAACTTACATGGTAATCTCCTCGAGTCCTTCGAATGGAGTTCCGAGGAAGTGTTCTCTGGACTTCTTCGTCTGGACCTCTCTTACAACAACCTGAAGACGTTGTCTGCGAGCTCCTTCGAGTCGACTCCCAGGATAACGCACCTGGATCTTTCTTTTAATCGCATCCGTGAAGTGGAGGAAGGCTGCTTGCTTGATCTGGAACAATTGGTTTCGTTAAATATCAGTAACAACAATATCACGAGATTGTTATGGTCCGAGCTTCCAGTTACATTGACGCGGCTAAACGCGGGCTACAATCTTATCGAGGAGGGTCCGCGTAATTTATCCTTCATCCAAGTCCTTGATATCGCGTTTAACAATGTCAGCGATTTTAACGTCATCGAGGACTCGGTTCAGGGATTGACATCCCTTAATGTTAGTGGGAATAGACTGACCGATTTCCCGAGTTACTCCCTTGATAATTTGGAGACTCTGGATGTCTCTGATAACAGTATTACCAGGATACCGGAGTCCTTCAGGGCGGATCGTCTCCCTCGACTGAGGGATCTCCTCATCAGTGGGAATCCCATTAAAAAGTTGTTCTTCAAGGAAGAAATTCGGTTAAAAAAGCTCGTCGCCAGTAGGCTACCTCTTTTGGAGGCGATCGATGCTTATGATCTCTCCAAGATTAGCAGCTGGGATCCTGAAGGATGTATTGATCTTGTGATCTCTGGCAATGGGAGGCTGAGCTTCATCCACGAGGACGCTTTCGAGTCCTTCGACGTTTGTTATGTAAGTGCAGTTACTTTTGCCACTGTATAAATAGTAATTACCTTTTGAATACAGCGTATGTATTTCTCGAATGTATGTAGAATATTAAAAATATCCGTTTGAAATATATATTACGCATACGGTCGATGATTTTTCGAGATACAATATTTCGAAATCGAGGTGTGCAGTTGGCTTCAGGATGTTAGATCATTTTTTACACAATGCCGCATTTTAAGGGAAATGTCTTCTCGTCGTACAAACATTCATTACTTTTCTACGAATCCTCACGTAGAAATATTCTTCGAAACGTAGTATATATATACGTTTTTATTTCGAGCGCCGCTGTTTCCGGTTTTAGTATACACTTGTATTCAAATGTCTTCGAAATATTATAAAAATAATAATGACGTGTTGATGATTCTTTTTTCAAATGTAGATGAACCTCAGTTACAACAATCTCTCGCAAGTGCATCCGAAGCTTTTCAACCTTGAAAGTAAACACGTGGAAAAGTTCGGAATTGATATCCAGGGGAATCCCTTCTTTTGCAATTGCACTTTGCAGTGGATGGTGGACACTTTCGTGCCCCTGCTATATTCCACTCATCAGGGATTGTTGGTCGACCTCAGGTGAGCATTTTGGACCCTGTGTGCCGAATCGTTTCAAACTTTACAACGTGAATGTGGACGCTATAAGGAAGGTCCTTACCCTAATGAAATATAAATATTCATAACAAATTTAAACAATATCCACGAACAAATGAATCAAAAATTAAATCCCGTGAGTTTTAGGACCTTCTTTATACCCTCCATATTTATATTGTACAAGTTTAAATCGATTCGGTACACCCAGTTTCGAGAAGAGTTTCATGAACGAGAACTCTTTCACGCCACTCTCACATCGCCTTAAAATATGATTTAATAATAATGCTGACACGGTTTCTTTTCTCTATTTCCTATTTGACACAAAGGTGCGCATCACCTGCAAGCCTAAGAAACAAGAGAATGGTGCATTGGTACAAATGGCCAGGACGAGTCCTTTGCGGGGACAAGTCGGCTCCATTGTTGGAAAGAGCGGTCCAGGATGTTCCTGAGGAGACGAAGATCAACATCAAGGGAAGCACCGGGATGATAATCGTGTTAATCGGAGCAACCGTGCTCCTCTCATTGCTAGTCATCGTAGGAATTGTGCTCGCAAAATGGAAGGCCAAAAAGCGGTCCCGACAAAACCGGAGATTTTAAGATCATTTCCTCGTGAATCGCCTTACAAAACTGACATACACCCCCCCTCGCAGTATTTTTCTAATAAACATTTATATTTAACGACCGCTCGTCGATAAACCACACCGCAGTTTCCCGCGGCACATTTTATTAGCAACATAGGCAGAAGCGTTGAAAATAGGAACAAACACCTTCCCTCTTTATTTTCTTAAGTTCTAGTACTTGACTTAACATTTCGTCGTCATAAAAATCGTCACGTTAAAGCCTCGCGATTGTTGCTTAGGTACGAAGTGGAAAATCTCGATCCCTGGGAGGGAATTCACTGGTCAGGTTCGACAAGGTTCCTGTTTCCCTCCGATAAGAAAATATCAAAACTTGTTTCAGAGTTGAGGCAACGAGTCGCTGGTCGCATTAATCCGAAGGATGACTTTTTTTTTCCCTAAATGGCCTAGATATTTATTACAAATTCCTAAATCAACGTTGATCGGTTAGCATCACAGAATCGCTATGTACATTGTGCTAAATGGCGACGTCACGTTGCGGAGTAACAGTGGATAGGTGCCGATACCTATTTGGTCGAAACACCTGGATGCAGTCGGGGAATCTTATTACCACTGCACCAGGTACTTCATAATGCGTAATGCGAAATGTATCAAGTCGATAGAGTTCCTTAGCGTGCTCCTGGCGCGACGCACTGGTCTTTGGACGTAAATTCAGAGTTTCCGGAGCCGTTTAGATCTCGTTTATTTGCCAATGACTAGGCGGCACTCGCAAGGGCGGACTCTGCCTCAGTTCTGCGAGGAAGTCGCAGATGGATTTGTAATACCCGGACTGGTTCCAGGTCTCGTTGTGCGTGCCCCCCGGGATGGGGAGCATCCTCTTGCAAGAACTGTTGCAGCGTTTATAGAGCTCCGTCATCATGCGTGGCGGCACCAACGCATCTCCTAGGCCAGACACGAACAGCGTTGGCACACTCACCGAAGATATCTTCAGCAATGACATGTACTGAAACCAGAAGTCAGGAAATGGCACAACTGTAATATTGATTTAATTATTGATTACCTTTTTCATATATAATTGATGGAAAATCGGTTACATTTTTAATTTGTAATTGATTCGGGACAGTCATGATCGATTACTTTTATGTCGAAATTAGCTGGAATTAAATGACCAAGTACATTATAAATTTGTAATCTAAGATCATTATTTATGTATCTTTCTTTAATTAAACCAGAAATAATCTCCTTAAATACTAATGAAAAAGTAATTGAAAATTAAATTCTAACCAATAGCATGTTCGGTACATAATTAATAATTAATTTCCTTTCAGTTGCAAATTAAATGTCATTGATTATCCATATCAAATTAATTATATATTAGAAACGACATTTTTTAAATTGCATAATTCAAATGTAATTTAGAATTAAATATGTCATTCAATTTTAAATGCAATTAATGTTACTCATCCCTTTCAGAAATGCATGTGGTGATTTTTACATTGCGGATGTCCCAAACCAATAGGAATTGATAAAGTTGTACCTTGTTCTTGTACAGAAGAAGTGGAACGTACTGCAACAACTTCGAACTGGTTAAGAGGGCTGCCATGTCTGGAATGCTAGTAAACGTGTTTTCCAGAATAAGGCACCAAATTCTGTGAGAATTCTCCGGTCTTGTAGCCAGGTCAATGGCCACTGCTCCTCCTGAGAAATTATATGCTAATCAAGTTGATTGTTTCTCTCTGACGAGTCCAGCTTATAAGACCTTGCCATGAGAAACAGTAGGTTACCTAAGGATCTGCCAAAGACTATAATTTCGTTATGATTGATGTCATTCCGTGAGCTTAAATAGTCTAAGCCAGCTCTAGCATCCATGTATAGACCTTCTTCGGACGGAGTGCCTTGTGAAAGACCATATCCTCTATATTCCAACATTAGGACGTTGCACTGTATGTTGTGGTACAGTCCAGAAACATTCTGAAGCCTGTTAATGAAACATTTTACTTTAATTTAATAATTTGAGAAGCCTTAACAGTTGTCTAAAAGATGGTTTTGTACCTGTGGCCCATGTTTCCAGCATTACCGTGAAGAAAGAGCACCGTGGGTACATCCTTCGCTTTGTCATCTGGCTGTGATATGAAGAACATGTGTAACATCGTTCCATCTACAGTTCTGGTGTAAACACTCTGATAAGGCAAGTTGAACATAGATGGTGCAGGAACATAAACGCGTGAATGGGATGGTAACTCGGGATGATAAAGTAACAGGTCTTCCATCCGGTACAATACACCTGCGTAAATTCTTTTTAGATCTGACAAACTTTAACGAGGTATATAATATGCTTCGATATGGTATTGATACAACTTACATACCTGTTGTGGCAAAGCATAGCAGGAAGAACAAGAAGATGCCGCCATACAGCCAATACAATATAAAACAAATGAATGCAAAGGCTCCGCAGGATGCCCAGCATTTCGAGATGATTCTCCCAACAAATCTAACCGGACAACAGCGTGACACACGCGTTTTGAAAGACATTCTGAATCGACTGCTGATAATTATTTCCAACAACGTGTTCACATTGACTATTCGATTACGCTAATTATATACATTGTCAAGTCATTGAATGTAGATATTTAATGTCGCCTCTTTTGGAGCACATGCACGCACGAGTATTCACTTTCCTCCTCTTCAGATTATATACCATGCTCAGTCATAAAATTGATTAATCAGAGCACTGATTCCTTTCTAGATCTCTTCTGATCTGTAACTATTACATCTTAACAGCGTTACTATAGTTTTCGATTGACTATTTACTTATCTTATTCATTTTACCATCATTAGATAGTGGCTATATCGAAACGTCATCGATATCAGCACAAATTGCTCCCCGGTCAATGTCATCGAATGTTTTGACTTCCTAACCTCACAGTATCACTACGTTCATTTTGAATCTAAGAATTCAATAGTCCATGAATATAAAATGTATCCTAGAACGCAACTAGGTAGAAGAAACTAAGATTCGCGATATAGCATTTGGATAAACTGTATATGTATTATACATGTATGCATGTATGTATGTATGTACACGCAGATCTCTGGTAAAGTGCGCTTTTGTGTTTTGGCGACATCTGGTGGTTGCGAAAGAAAGAAAGTGGCTGTGCGATCGAAGCTCCTCCAAACAACTGGAAATAATATTAAAAAAGTACGAAATTGTCTACGAAAAATTACAAAGTTGTTATCAGTTGTTATGACAGCTGGAATCTATCGTAATTCATTATTATAATATGAGTTAGAGATAAATTCATGGCGCTAACTTTGCTTTAAGAATATACTTGAGTATCAGATTAATTAAATGCATGGAATTGATTAATCAATCTTAAATATTATGGAGAAGGTGTGTAGATTATGCCTTCGAGCTCAAGAGAATATGATACACATTTTTGGCAAGGACGAAGACTCAACATTATTTCTATTACAAATTAAGGACTGCTGTGCCATTGAGGTCAGTAAATGTATTTTCATATATTTCTTATAGCAGTATCGATTCTCTATAAAATTGTGTACTAACGATTTCAATTTATTTCATGTTGTAGTTGGTAGAAAACGATTGCTTGCCAAAATTTATATGCATCGAATGCAAAGGCAGAGTCACTATGATCAGAGAGTTCAGAGAGCAATGTAAACTGTCAGACTTAAAACTGAGGGAGTATTATGAACATCCAGTCGAAAAAGAAATTGATAGAACTCAAACTGTTCAGGTATATTGTAAGAAAGTTTTTCTGAATGAGTAAATGAATAGTGAGCCCTAATACTGTAATTACTTTTAGAGTACCGGTGTACAAACTGAGGATAAGCCAAGCCTAATCGCTTCGAAAAGACGTTCCCTTATTAAAAAAAGGAAGAAAGTTGTTAAACAAGCCTCTTCGACTTCTATCGATGGAGTGAATAAGAATGTAATTAAGCCTGAAGTTTGTCATATAACTACCACAACTAACTGTTCAACAAATGGCAATAATTGGGATTTAAGGAATAACGATTGGAATTTGGAAGAAGAGCCTGAAGAAACAAAACAAACAAAACCTAAGAAACAAGCCATTCGGAAGGGATGGAGTACTGCAAAGCAGAAGAAATCTTTCGTATGTCATATGTGTCAGAAGGTCTACCTATCGAAGAAAGCATTGGTCAAGCATTCTGAAACTCACTTAAACAATGGTCCCTTCAAGTGTTATGGGTGCGACAAGACTTTTAACTCCAACGATAAGCTCGCAAATCATAATAAGAAACACAGTGATTCCGTGATTTTCAAATGTGACGTGTGTGATATGCCTTTTAAGGAACAAGTCAAATTAAATTTTCATTTACGAGTTCATGGAAAAGGTCCTCCGATCAACACGGAGAAGCAATATCTCTGCGACATCTGCAGTAGGACATTTGTTTCCAAATCTGGACTACGATTTCATTTGAAATCTCACACAGGATCCAAACCCTACACTTGTAAATACTGTAACAAGGGCTTCACGATACCTAGCTATAAGATAAGACACGAAAGGACTCACACCGGAGACAAACACTTCGTCTGTCACATATGCAGTGCTGCGTTCGCATCTAGTAATGGCTTAAAGTATCATTTAAGGATTCACACCGGTGAGGCGAATTATCACTGCGAAACGTGCGGTAAATCCTTTAGACGTCTTAAATACTTGAAGGAACATACGTTTACTCACACCGGGGAAAGGCCATTTGCATGCAGGATATGCGGCCTAGCCTACGGAAATTCTGGAAGCTTATTCGTGCACGAAAAGAAATGCAAATTGCAGTACGTCAATGGTACGGCTAACAACGCGAAAATTGAGTGAGGACGCTTCTAAGATCCGCTTCCGTTACCAAGGCGAAAGAAACGAAACAATCCTTCCTAGCTGTATTTATTTATTTATTGACCATAGTCTTAATCAGAAACTATCTTTGTAGGCAGTTTCTTTGTACTTTCTGTGCAAACAGCGTCGTGTACTGAATGCAATCGAGTAACCTTTTGCAAGGTCTATAAGGTGCACTTTCCGTAATTGTTCTCAAACTTCGGCTGAAATCCGAGAGCGCACCTCTGTTAAATAGCAACTCGCCACAGTCTCTTCGGGGAAACTTTAATTAATAAAAATGGAAAATTATATTATCATGTAGTCGTCAATGTACACTATATTTACATAAGGTTTGCGCCTAGCATTAAGTCTTTGGTGTGTCGTTGAGTATTAGGAAGTCGCGGTGCCCGCTACTTTCCAAGCGTTGGACTCTCCGTGTTCAGCAATCGTGTTTCCGTTACTGATCTTCCACGTGTTCCAGCTCGTATCGGTCGCCTTGTCGAGGAACTTGAAGAGGCCCAACCGCAGCACAATCCCAGAAGCTGATGTCCATGTTCTGATCCTTGAAGCTGATGTCTATCTTCTCATTCTTGGAGCTGACCGCCATGCCGTTCAAGTAAGAAAGTGCGTCAATGGCTTCTTCTGCAGCTCCAAAACGCCTACGCTCAGTGCCTGTCCCATGTATCTCAGATATTTAGCTCCATTCTGGTCAGAGATAACTCGGCGGGCTTAAATTTCAGCAATCATGTTTCCGTTGCAGAGACATCTCCGAGGACGCCACGGCCATCCACTCGTTGGTGCTCGACTTGAACCAGGACAAGCCCAAGGAGTACCTCCCATTCAAGTTCGCGTGCTGGCAATGGCTGAACCACCAACCCCCATGGTAATTCGCGGCACAATCTGTGGAGCTGATGTCCATGTCCCGGTCCTTGGCACTGAACGCCATTCCATTCTGGTAGGAAAGCGCATCGGTAGCGTTCCCACTAAACCCAGAGACCCTAAGCCTGTACCCTTCCTCTTCAGAGTCCACGTTAAAGTGCTCGTAATCCGCCCTCCAGCGAGTCCCGTAGATGTCCATCAAGTCGATCCTGAGCCTGGTACAGTTGTCTCTGGTGAGTCTGTGCAAAGCCTCGTTGCCCACCCAGAACTCGTTCACCGGGGACCCGAATCCAGACGCGTAATCGTTCCAGCTTCGATCAAAATCCACCATGCCGTCGATGCGCCTCGCCACGACGATCCACCCTTCATGGCAAGACACCATCAGAGGTGCTCCGGGACCAGGTGCTAAAAGAGTGAGTCCGTCCCTCTCCTCGCAGTTGCCTGGAAGAGCGTCTACCATCAGCCTGTACTGATCTTCCACGTGTTCCAGCTCGTGCGTGATATTCGTCGCCTTGTCGAGGGACTTGGAAAGGTCCAGCTTCAGCATCGTGGAGTTCAAACCAGCGATAAGATCCTGTTGCTGGTCGCTCTTCTCCTGCAGCTTCGAGGCGCTTACGCTCAGCGCCTGTACCGTACGTCTCAGGTTGTTCAACTCTTCTCTGGTCAAGGACAATTCGGCTGCCTTCCTGGCGGCGTTGATGTCCAGTCGCGAGATCTCCTTCTTCGTGCCCGACTGACCCGAGTCTACCTTGTCTTCCAGCGCCTGCACGGACTCGAAGAGCTGCACCATCGAGTCCCCTAGCTTGACCATCGCGGAGACTTCTCTGGTCACGTTGAAGAGCTGTCGGGAGAGGTCGTGCTGTCTGCTCTCCAGGGTGGACACTCGGGCAGTCAAGTCTTCCTGGTTCTCGTAGACCACTCGCTTCTCCACTACTGCTCGCTTTCGAGCAACTATCGCTATTTTGCGCTCAAGATGACCTAGGCGCTCTTCTATGCGCCGACTTTGGGAAGACCTCAGGTAGCTCCTCCTCAAGTGGCGTCTGTAATGCTCCCTTTTCATCTCGTTGCGGACTTCGTTCCGGGACAACTGGTGGCTCTTCTGGTCCATGGCTGGCTCGCACTTCAGGGACTTCATCTCCATCTGCACCGCGCTGAGCTGCAACGAAAAGACCTCGGTCAATATCGGCGCGGCTTTCTCCTACAACTTATATTTAATAATTAGAGGGAGAGACTGTCGACCGCGGATTCTAGAGGATCTGGAAAATCGTCGGCACACGAGTGCTCGTACTTCGTAAAGGCTTGGAATATCGCAAAGGAAAGAGGTCAACGTGGTCGAATTAAAAAGGGGGCACCGTGTATTCCCCGGCTATGTAGACGGAGTCGCAAGCCGATACTCCGAAGAACTCCGAATTCCGAGGGCGCTCGCCTCTCCTCGAGTTACGACAGGGCTCGGCTGTCGCCACGCGATCTGCCTACATCGATCTATTGGCGAGCGATGCTTAATATCGATTATCCGGTGAGTGCATCCCGGGCCAGGTGATGGCCAGGTGCGCCAGGAACGAGAGTGACCGAAGGAACGGCTCCCGTGCGTGAGGTAACACCCGTCCGCTCCTGCGTTCCCAATGCAATGGAAAAGGCAGGAGTGTACCAGAAAGGTTTCACCATGTCGAATTTAAACTGGTACAATTTTATGGAACGAAGATCTACCGGGCGTTTCTCCGGGACCGCGAGTCCTGGCGCACCTGTCGCGCGACTCGTCTCACCGGTACGAATGACGCGAAAAAGGAAATTCCGCGTGACTCGAATTTCGGGTCACTTCTAGCGGGCCCAGCGGGTTAATATCGATCATTCGGTGGTTGCACTTCAGGGCCAGGTGATGCCCGGGCCAGGGGAACGCCAGGTGCGCCGGGAGCGAGTCCTGTGTGAGGTAACACGCAGCCGCCCCCTGCATCCGCAATGGAAAGAAAAAGGGGCCGCATGCCCTCGGAATGGAACGCGCAGGGCACGGAGGGGGCACCGGTCGCCGCAGCTGCCGGCCTCCAAAACGAGAAATGGAACCTCGCGTGCCGGCTGCTGGCTGACCGCAGGTGCACCCGGCCGCGCATGTAAATATCGTTGGCGTCAACCAAAACGGGGAGGATCGTCATCGTCAACCTCGTCGTCGTCCAAACCTCTCTCGGTATTAAGGGATGAGGGTACCACTAATTTTCTGTCCATTTGAGCTTTTCTTCAGGAGCGGAGATTCTTTAGGAGTGAGGATTTCAAGATTCAAGGATTCTTCAGGATTGTCCATTCTGCAGGATTGAAGATTCTTCATCCTCATCGCCATCATTTGATTCCAGGAGCGTTGTTAACCCTTACACCCTAGAGGTACATGTATACCCTTCATGGGCTGGTATCCCTATAGTTTACTTTATACCAATCATTTGGTATGCATACTAAAGGTCCTATTTAAATGCTTAATTAATTTCAAATCATCCTTTACATTACAAATTTGATAAAGTACGCATTTAGGACTCGTACCAAGTGATCGGTAAAAACTAAACCTAAGTCTGTATGACCTGAGGAGTTAAGGGGAGGGAGTAATGTCACCTTTGCATCTATCGGGTCTTTTCTTCAGGATCAAGGATCAAGGGAACATCGTCATCCTCAATGTTACTCGTCGGTGGGAGTGTCGTTAAAACGTCAGAGTCCGTCAATTTTCCATCTATCGCCCCCTTTCATCAGGGTCGAGGACCTAGGGAGTATCGCCATCCTCACCGAAGTCGTTCCTTTCCGAGAGTCATTACAAGGTGAGAGTACTATAAACTTTCTTTTCATCGCACTCTTTCTTCCAGGTGGAAGATCTAAAGACTCGAGGTCGAGGATCTAAGGTCACGTTCCCCCTTCTTCAGGTTCAAGTGGAGTCGACATACCTGACTGATCGTGTCGGCGCAGGTGCGCGACAGCTGGGTCGAGCGCTCCTTCGTGGCAGCGATGTCCACTCGGATCGTCCCCAGGGCCGCCTCGATCTTCGTCATCCGTCCTCCAAGGTCGCGGATGCTGCGCCCGATCTCGGCGACGTCGCCCTTCAGGAGGGCCACCTCGCTGCGCATGCGCGCGCGCTCGGCCAGCTCCTCGCTGGCGTTTCGCGCGCGCAGGACCTCGGCGACCTCGCTCCTCAATTCCGCAACTGCGCTGCCGAGCCACCGCACCCTCAGCCGCTCGTTCTTCGCTTCGTTGCCGCTTCCGCCACGCAGCGCGGTCACTTCCTTCCTGCGAGGACAATCGGCAGAGTTAATCAAAGGGGAACCCGCAGGTGCGCGGATGCCGATGGGATACCGATTACGACTAGAGACTTCTAACGACAAATGCGTCATGCAATTTGATGTTAATTAACGCATGCTTAAGGTTAACCGATAGTGCCGCTTGAGGAGTCAATCGTTTATACAACATTTCTTCGAACTGGGTCCACCGAATCGATTTAAACTTTACCGCGTGATTATGGAGACTCTAAGGAAGGTCCCGACATCCGCGAAATTTCAGTATTACATTGTAATAAAGGAATGTTTATAAAAAAAAAAAAAGAAATAAAATAGAAAGGGGATATTTCATGGGTCTCGGGACCTTTGCTAGGGCCTCCACGTTCACCTCGTAAAATTTCAAAGGATTTAATGCATCCAGTTGAGAGAAACGTTGCCTTAAACGAGCCGCCACTTTCATATCACCTTGAGGAGCCGAAATACTCGGCAGAGTTTCGCGCCAAATACATATATTATATAAGCGCGTGGATGCGAGACACTCGGCCGGTATTTATCCCCGAGGCTCAGTCCGATGAGTCGGATCGAACAGATGTTTCCTGAATTGTTTATTACTTAATTGAGATATTGGGAAGTTCGACCAGGTCCTTAGGATCACCCTTTTATATGGGGTAGGTGGAGTTAAACGTAACCGGGGCACTAGACGTACCTAAGCTGTTTAACTTCCTCTCTTAGCACGATCAGCTCGGTGTTCTTTTCGATCGCTTTCTTGAGACTTTCTTCCAGGGCGTTGTAATCCTCCTGCCGATGGTCCAGGAGAGCGTTTACCTGCTCCTGGAGGAACTTGACGGCGGAGTCGAGGTCTGAGCACGTGGCATGGTTCACGACCCCCACGAGCATGACCACCAGCACCACTCGCAGCATCCTTGGTCTCATCTTCGACCACGACTCTCCAAGATGTCGAGGAACAACCGAGCAACGCACTCCTCGGGAATACCCTTGTGAAGAGGACTACGCTCTTCGGACTGCAGGATGTTACTGCAGCTGCACCATGAAGACTCGCGTCTCTCCCTTCGAGGCGAGTCCCTAAGCTATCGGAAGCTTACTGCCGGACGGAAAACGAAGTGCGGCTCTTATATTAACGTTGGACAAAGGGTCGGGGTACCCGGTGCGGAGAGCAGGTGTTCGCTAACACCAGGCCGTCAGGTATATTGTACCCCCACGCGCACCACCCTGCGTCTAAATGCCGGCGAGCGCACCTACAGGCCCCCCGAGTTTCGAAGGCCGGGCCAGCACATGCCGTACTCCCTCTCTCGCCCCGAGTCTCTGTTACCGAAATCCTCGGTGGACTTAATTAAAATTTAATGAGGAAAATATTTCAAATATATGAACCGGGCTCGAAAAAGGGGAGCTTGAAAATGTAATCATTTATCTACGCTCCCGCGCCGCACTCCTTCAAACCGAATGATTATAGGTAAAATTAATGAAAAATTATCGAAGAAAATATTTAAAATATATGAACCGGGTTAAAAAAAAATAGAAAGCATGACATTTAGTTTACTTTTGTAATACAAACTTATATTTCACAGCTGCCACTCAGTTTGAAATCGCCGTGAGAAAAAGGAAAAAAGAACAATTGAAGGGTTACAGGGACTTGAATGATATATTCCATTATCCTTCGTTTCTTTTTAAAAGACTCGCCATCAATAATTATTATCAAACTTTCATGGATGCATATGTACTCCCACTTAAGATATGATAATTATGAGGGATTACACGGAATTCATTCGGAACGGCCGCAGATTTTCGCATAATTTCTGTGAAGTTTCGAGTGCGCCTCGTCCGGCACGTGAGGATCGGCCATCGGAATCGAGTCCTGTTAAACACCTGCCGACTCATCGCAAAGGATAATCCCGGTTAGGTCCTTCAACGGAACGCGCCAAGAAACGCGAGGAATTGTACCCAATTGTACCTCCATTGGGCCGTAAAATTGTACCATTGTCTTCGCAAGACTTAGCTTCCCAGCCAGGCCCTCGTCGCCGTCGGCGGCGATTTCACCGCGGGGTGAAAGAGGCGAGCGCGATTCCTTCCTAAGGAGAAAGTGTCCTTATATCGGGATGTCCGGAAATTCGAAACTGGATCGCCGAGGACTAAGGGAAATCAGGGACCCGGTCGCTATCGTAGTCGGAGAGATGCGACCCCGGGACGTTGATAAACGGGCGACGCGGAGCGCCGGTCCTTCGGGGGCAGCTGCAGCCGCACATCCCGGGTTCACCTGGCTCTACCCGTGCATCGCGTGCAAGTGTTACGGAGTCGGTTTTTTTATTTTTACACCGCCTTGGGAGGATTCCCGAGCTGCAGCGGTCGCGCGCTCGCCACGCGACAAACGGCGGAGGTGAAATCCATTTGGGCCGGCTGCCCGCCGGCCGGCACACGAGGCCCGAAGTGCTCGAAGTGCCCAAAGTCGCCGAAGTGCCCAACCGAGCGGCAGAGCCCTGAAGAGGCGAGATCAAACGGAGATAGAGGGCCCGAGTCAGCCGGCCGCCAGCTGGCCGGCACGGCCGGCATTTCTCAAAATCGAATTCAACGAAAATCAACTGCCACCCCTTGCTGGGTGTCCAAATTATCTCCACCCTCGAGAGAAACTGCGTCTACTCATAATGTATATATACAGGCGATATCTTAAATGCATATGTACACTGGGAGACATCAATGCCCTCCCACCCTGCACAGGCGATGTCGTATCTGCAGGGAAGGCATTCATGAGAATTCGTAGTTTGTCGCGTATAATTTAAATTAAAAATTCCGAGAGAACTCGCGGAGATGAAGATTCGTAAATGGAGAACTGCTTACCATATATATTTCTTGATTTCTTGGAGATATTTGCAAAGACACAGAATGTGCTGGAGCACGATTTAAATTAAAAATTTTAATAGACACCACTCGTAAAGATAAATTCGTAAAAGGAGAATAGCTTATATATACATATTTTTCTTTTTAATTTCGAGGAAATATTTGCAATGGCAGAGGGTACTCGGGTACGGACCTACAGTTCAAGCAAGCCGATACCTTAAAGACGCGAATGCGCTTCTCGGGATCGGCTTGAAGGTGCTCTCAAAATGCAGAAGGAATTCCTCCTGGAATGTACGGCGGCCCTTGCCTGCTGTGGTTTCGGGGTCTCGGGGATTTTTCACATTTGTAAGGAACCGCGGGCGGACCAGATTCTTGAGGACTGTTAAATGGCCGTCTTATACCTAAGGCGTACTTAAACGCCCCGATGCAGTTTGTCAAAAGACCCTTAACGGATGTCTATGGCCACGGTATTCCGAGGAAGGTCTCAAGGTACAATGGCGGACATGAATGCCTCCCCTGCAGATACGGCATCGCCTGTGCAGGATAGGAGGGCATTGATATCTCCCAGTGTACAATGGCGGACATGAATGCCTCCCCTGCAGATACGGCATCGCCTGTGCAGGATGGGAGGGCATTGATGTCTCCCAGTGTACGGTACGGACTCTTCACGGATTACCTGCAAAGCCAATCCGCCTAGGTTTATGGGTGTACTAAAGTGTATCCGCCGATAGTATTAATAATTTATTCGAAAACAATAATCTCCTCCAAGAAATCCCTAAGTATCGCGTCTATGCATAGGGGAAGTAACACAGCGTTTAAGTTCTCGTAATTACATTGCAACGATGCACGGTTTTTCACGCGCGGTATAAGTTATATTTAAATATCCTTCGATGTCGTACACGGAGAACGAAGACTTTCCTGGAAGTCGAAGACTAAGTAAACAGGGAAAAAGGAGAATTTCAATCAGAGAGTCGGAAGAGCAAGAGATTCGATGGATGAACGGATTTAAGGCGCTTATTTGTACCTCGCGCTACGTGTTAAGGTGATATGAAAGGTGGCGTCAAAGAGGTCTCGATCATGAAATTTTTCTTCGAACTAGGCTTGCCGAATCGTTCCAAACTTTAGATCGTGAATATGGAGGCTGTAAGGAAGGTCTTGAGAACCATGAAGTTTCAATTTTTTTTTCCCTCCATTTATAGTTATTTTCAAAATTTTTTACAAAAACTGAAATTTCATGAGGGTCAGGACCTTCCTTATAGCCTCCATGTTCACGTTGTAAAATTTGAAACTGGGTACACCCAGTTCGGAGCAAAAATTTCATGAACGATTGACCTGTCGGATGCCACTTTCACATCCCCTTAAGGAACATTATATGCGAATCGGATATCGTGGAGTATAATTATTACATAATGTAGTCCTGTTTAAGTGGTAAAACTGTTTGTAAAGTGACATCGACAGGGGACACACCGTTCGACGGAATCTTCGTGTATGTTTCGACGAATCATTTGTCAAGATACTCATAATTGGACCTGCTTGATATGTTCGATAGGGTCGTAACAATAACGCTATAAAACTTTAAGATATTCCTCGTACATTGCAAAGTGCTGCGTAATATCCGATCCCTTTATAATATTCCCCTCTATACGGTCATCGGCGATTAAACAATTCTAACGGATAAAGTCTTGCCGAAGGAAATACCAATGCGCTTTAAAATTTCTATTTGAACAAAGCATATATGGAATCCGGAACGTATTGGAGTAAAAAAAGTTGGGGACTATTGGAGAGATTTCTTTGGAAGATTCTTAAACCTTAGACGATAAATCCCGATTTAGTCCAACGAGAAACGCTCTACTTTAATCGGGCATTGTTAGTCCCGTTCAGTTACAGGGGATAGCAATCTTTTACGGTATATGTACTTCATTTGATTATTAAAACTACGGCAGTTCTGCGATTATTCAGCGGTAATCGATTTATCACAAGCTTCTCAATGTCTCTGTCTTTTCTCGGGTTACGAAAGAATGTGCAACAAACGTATGCAATAGGTTTGTATGAGGGGTGGTCGACATACTTTCTATCGCGCGACAACCGTTGTGGATAATGTGCAGAAATGGATTCTCGAAAATTGGATGACTGAGCAATACGAAGGTTGTTCAAGAGAGAGGGAGAGAAAAGAAAGAAGAGAAGTCCTTGCGATACACGCAATGGATACGCACGCGTACAGTAATACGGGAAATTATACTTCTAAGAGACTAATCTGCATTCCATGATGCACGCTTTATGTACATGACTTGAGTAAATCACTTTTAAGGACCCTGCGTTCGTAGTGACGATTAACTCCGACATCTTCCTTCTTCTCTCGCGAACTTAGCGAAAAATGGCACCAAACTCTCCGAGGCTGACCTCGCTCGCAACGTAAAAAAAAAAAATAAATATTCGTTTCGGTACCTCGACAAACGAAAGTAAGAAAGGTTCACTCGACCGAAATTCCCTGTACGACAGTAACTTCGCCTGATAGGATATTCGATCGGTTGTTAGCACCTCGATAAAAGATCGACCTTGTGCCACGAGTAGTTCGAGGGGGCCCGGATATTTCAACTTGGTCGGAAGGGCACGGTAAAAGTTACCGTGTAAACGTGTAAACGAGAGGAAGCAAGAGAATCGGGGACAACTCTCAAAAAGTCTTTTCTCGGACCAGCCAGAAATGTCGAGCCCCAACCGGGTGCCCAGCTTCTTCACTCGAACACCTACTTTGTACAGCTAGACAATTAAATACATTATTTATATCGTACACGTATAGGTACTTAGTTTAAGTTTGCGCTGAGCCATACGAGCCTGTAGGTGGGCGATACAGTTTAGGGAGGATTAAAATCTGCAAGCTGTTGAATGCGAATTTCCGGACGCCGATGTTCTTCCACGTGTTCTCCCTTCGGCAGCCCTCGCTGTAATCGGAACAAGTCGTTTGCGGTAATTAAGGTGATGTAAAAGTGGCGGCAAACAGGTCTCGTTTATGAAACTTTTCTTCGAACTGGGTGTACCGAATCGTTGGAAACTTCAGCACGTGATTATGGAGGCTCTAAGAAAGAACGTGGTGCTGACGAAATTTCATTTTTCAGAAGATACATGTCCTGGTTCTAGTCTGGGATAAATAATATAAAAAAAAAGATCTTATTAAAAATGAAATTTCACGAGCACCACGCTTAAGACCTCCACAATCACGTGCTGAAGTTTTAAGTGATTCGGTGCACCCAGCTTGGAGAAAAGTTTTAACAAATTTTTAACATTTTGTGTATATAGTGTGACGCTTTTATGTCACCTTAAAAAACTGTAAGAACATTTAAAAAATCAGAGAATAGTGATTATCTCACCTGCGCATGCAGTCGAGGGCTCGCATAAATTCATGTTCCGCCAAGTGGTACTCCGTGGCGAGTATGTTCACTTGTTCCAGAGTAATCGACATCCCGGTCCTGTCTTTCGCGCTCTTGCAGCTGGTGAATCTCAGGCCTCTCATTCGTCGGCATATTTGCGAGGACAATTGCAAAATCTCTACGTTTTTGTTTACCTTTGCGTGGACGCAGGACTTCAGGTTCGTCACCATATCGGCTAAAGTTTGATTTAGAGGAGATCGCGTGCCCACTGAAAGGAAAGAATGACAAAATCTATTTTGTAAAAAGAATTCGTGAAATAATAGATTGAGAAATAAGTTCCCGTGGTTTTTAACGCAACATAACATAATTAAAACGGCGGAACTTATTCCTCAACCCAATAGTTCCAGGAACTTACGTCTGGTGGAGGCAGGCTCTGTCGGTAGGTTGAGTTTCTTGAATCTAAGATAATATTCGTTTAGCCTATCGAAATTGTCCATGTTACTTTTTTCCTGAGGTTTGGTAGTCCCGAGGCTTTCCGCCAAGGACGCGGTCTCGCATATGCCGACGTTGAAAAAAACGGGCGTGACATTGAATGACAACGTTTGTCTGGATGATGGCACAAGAGGTAGTAAGGAGTATATCGCATCGGGTACTGGAAGAATCACTGTCAAAGCAGTTCTCGAGCCGACCACTCGAGGCAAAGGTAGCTGAGAAGTCCCACTGTTCTTTCCCTCGATTCTACAGATTTAAATAATGAGCATTCAATTAGAAGTTTGCTTACGGATTATCGATAATTACCAATATAATTCTCGGTAAATCTCTACTCATCCATAACATCAGCCACCTATCGATAACTTTTCATATAGCAAATTAGAAGCCAATCAGCGTAAATAACTTTCGTTAAACAATGATGATTTTCAGTCGATGAAAATTATTCAAAATATTTAATAAAACACGTATCGAAAGATGCTTTGAAGCCATTTCTCTAAGTTTTGAGTACTGATTCCCCTTCGAAGTATATTATTGGTATTATCAATGGCACCTTTATTTATCACTCCATAAGTTTCCATACCTGGCGGGGATGCCACATCGGGACAGAGTGAAGGTGACGGTGTGCATGTCTTCCACCGCCACCGCCATGTCGCCCCACATATCGATTTCATCCCCATAATAGCTCAGCAACCCTTCGAAGGAGACCAGAGGCCCCAGGGTCGTCAGGATCAGAAGAAACATGGGATCCGGCCTTTGGCACCAAAGCTTGGCCATCAGCCCCGAGACCAGCGACGTTAACTGAAAGAATAGATAAGATGAAATGCCTTGAATGAGCAGCGCTATTAAAATGCATGTTATTAAAATACCGCTTGACTGAAGCACACGTCGCGTCTGTATCTGACGTTGCAGGCTCTTTGGGCGCTCTTCGCGTCCTCTTGCACCCTGAAGACGGAGTGCGTCAACCTCGCCGTCTTTAAAAGTCCGTCCATCGCTTGTCGCAGTTTCTTCATGCTCGGTCTGAGCTCACTGGTCCAGTCGACGATGGAAGCGAAATCCAAACCCTCCGTGAACTTGTTCCTCTGGCCGGAATTACTCTTGATCACTCTGGTCATAGAGTCCACAGCTTGGCACACTACCGATAAATCATGATATAAGAATTAAATGTTTCGTCCACAGTATTCGTTTCGGTAACGGTATACCTTCTTTAGCCTTGGCAAAGGCCGGGGTGGGCTTCTCCATCCCAGGACTGGTCTGCTGCCTGGAAGCATTAGAGTTGTCGAGGAGTTTACTGGACTCCTCACTCTTGACACCATTCTTTGGCTGGATCGTAACAACCCCTGAGTTGACCCGATTGTTCGGCAGACATCCTTTCAGGCTTTGGGACCTCCCGAGGCCGTTTTTATTGCGCAGTCTAACGGCAGGACTGCTACAACGGCCGCATAGAAATTTTACCTTCGACACCAGACACATTACGCTAGCTTCGATGTTCAATTGGGTGAGGTCCCAGGGTTCCGGCTCGTCGGTGGGCTTGTAATAATTGGCAGAGGGCGAGTTGCACATCTTCTGAGTGTCCAGGAACCGTTTACTAGGGTCGATCTCTCCCCTTATGTCGTCCTTTTCCTCCTCCTCGTTATTGTTGTCCTCGTCGGTCCCGTTTTCCTGGGGCTCATTTTCCTTAGGGTCGTCTTCGACTTCCGGAAATATCACGAAATTCTCCTCTGGCAGAGTACCGTTGTTGCTGTTGATCTCGTTCCTAGTTCCCAGGCAGGAGTACTTGTTCTTTGCGCTCTCCTTCGTCCAAATGTCTTGGACGCACTCCGGAGTGTCGGGAGTGACGAAGTCGTCGAAATCCGGGCTCTTCAGGTCGAAGTTTAATTGCTGGGTTATTCTCTTGAAGGGAGATAGTGACTGGTTCGTCTTGAAGTCCAGGGTCAGGGTGTCATCGCTGTTCAGTTCTTCCTGGATCTTGGCTACCTTGTGCTCCTCCAGGAACGTTAATGCTTCCTCCACCAGTCCAGGGTCCCAGAGGCTCAGCAATATTCTTGTTTTTGATATCATGTCTTCGCATATCGGCAGCATGCCGCTGGTTTGCTTCTCTTTGGCTAGCTTCATTAAAGACCGCATCGCTTCCACGACGTCTCGGCGAAGCTGCTTAATGGCTTGAATGGCATCGTGAGCCATTATTATTTTAGAGGTCCCTTGATACAACTGGCTGCATCGCGTGGGGGACTCTTTGAGTGCTTGCACCAATCTGCAATAAATGTATTTTTCATTCCCCTTCGTCTTATAGAAATTTGAATTTCAATGCGTACATCGATTACGTTACGCGGCCCACCTTATAAGGCCGCCATTCTTGCTTTTATGCGAATGCGCGGTGAATGCTCCCACGCTGATGAAATCATAAAATCCACACTTGTTCAGGGTGTCATTGTGAACCCACATTCTTTGCAGGTGTAGATTCAGAGGAGCAAACTCCAACGACCTGTCGTTCTTTCGGGAGGATTGTTTGAAGTAACTCCCTGCAAAATCGATTTTTCATCGTTAGCGTCTCTCGGAGGCCATTAAAGCTCTTTTTGATCGCGCTCGGCTACCTTTAAATGCAGATAGGTTCTCCTTGGCTTGTGAATATAAATGCAGAAGATGCAAGTGCCGGTCGAGGAGCTCCACTTGTTTCGTGTGCCAGGGCTCTCGCAATTCGCCCATGCCGGCCACTTCTTGTAGAAGTTCCTTTTCCTCTTGTATCCAAATTCCGCTATGATCAGTGATTAGCTTATGTCGCCGTACAGAACCGAGAATCAATGAATACTTACAGTAATTGCTGGGGAAACTGGAAGCATAGCTTGCTCTCCGCCATGATCTCATGCACGCAGATGTCCCCTCCGAGACCGGAATGAAATCTGCAAAAGGAAATCCATCGTGCAGGGGGTCTAGTACTTCGTTAATTATCTTCTATCCTTCGTTAATAACAGACCTGTAGGTCTGGACGTAGGGATTTGCGAATAGGAGTTTAAGTTGCCCCTGATGCGGCAATTTGATTTTCGTCCCCAATCTCGGCGGCAAGGACTGCGACCTCCTGTGCGAATATACCTGCACACGATTAGTTATAGTAGTCGCAATTTATACGAACACTTTACAAGTCATTCAAGAGATGACTTTCGCAAACCTGATTACTAGTGGTGGGCACATTTCTCGAGGGTGTGCTTTCGGTGCTGTTACCCTTGTCTTCGGCCTCCAAATTCCACACGTTTATCGTGAGGAACCCCACGGTTATCGCTCTCGCTGACTTCAGAGGGATCCTCAGTCTGAGTTTTAAAAAATTACCATTTTATCGATAACTCCCCTTGACAATTTCTTTGCGTACGTGTCTAGGTAGGAAATCACCTGGGGGTGTCTTGCACCGCACTGAACGTCACTATGGCACTTCCAATCGGAGTTGCAGTTTGGCTGACTCTTTCTCTGACATCGTAAGCAGTAATTCTTACTTTCGTCTCAGTAGTCAAACCATCACTTGCCCGGAAGCTGACTGTTGTCAAGAAACCGGGGTTGCTACTCCTCTGAAACATCAGCCACGAGTGAAAATTATTGTCTTTCCAAATCTCGTTCTATAAAGGAACGCTATTTCAAGAATTCATAGGCAATTGTGTACGAAAGTATATATACGGATCGAAGATGGCATGTATATGAAAGTAGAAGATATGTATATGAAAACTCGAATACTTTTGTGTACTGATTTTCAATTACGTGTGCATACACAGTTGTATTTTTAGAAAGTGTTTGAAATATCGAGATATTTTCAGCAATGAATGTCGTATATCGGAAAAGTACCTCCACTACTTCCGTTCTGGCGTACTTTATCCAAGTCTTGGAACGGATCGGCTGTACATCTACTTCTAAAACAGGATTCGGAGGCCTGCCATGTCCATCGCACAGCAGATTATCACAAGCTAACGATATCTCACACACAGGTATTTCCGCGGGATCTGAAGGAAGGGTGGGATTAACGTGAATATTAATTTTTCCATTATTCAAGGAGATGTCCCGGTTAAAACCTGTAGTGATCCCCCGCTGCAATCGCAACATCTGTATGTCCGTATCGTGTTTATGGCCACTGCAGGCTTCGATTCTTTGTCGTAAAGCCAACAATTGACTTCGCATGCACTCGTAGCTGGCCAATTGCAGCGCCTGCAACCAACTGTCTCTCTCATCTATGGAATTGGCACCTAATTGTTGGAACAACCCTCCATCGAAAACTGAAAAGGCGAATGAAACTCCATTATTGTACCACGGTTAAATAGAATTAAAACTTTCTTTTTTCTTAGGAGCAATATGTAGAACGAGATGATTTTAGTCCATACCTATACTAAATCCATAAGGAATTTGGTTCGTCGGCTGTTCCACTCGCAGAGAACATTGTTCAAGTATTATTACTCCCAAGGGCTCCGACCATTGTTCCCTCGATTTAAAGTAAAACAGAAGATTTCCCCGCAGTCTGCACCATCTCTCAGAGCTTACTGTACAAGAAAATGTTCTTCCATTTTTATCGGAGTTAACAAAAAAAGGCCTCAGTGTCCTTCAGAAAACTAGCAGAATTCTTTAACAATTTCGCAACGATCGAAAATGTGTCAGTAATGTTCTCTGTTCGATTTTTTAGACTTTAAAGGGATTAATATGTTGTGGAATGCGTTTCTATCAAAGTGCGTTTAAAAGAGAATAAAAAATATAGAGAATGTTTGCCTGCGAGGCTGTTTTTAGTCTGATATTCTATGGAGAATTTAAAATAAAAACTGTTTGAAAAAAAGAAGAAAATAAATCAGAAATTTCCAGCGACCACGAGTTCATTATTTTGAAATATATTAAAGCTTATTTTCTTTTAAATTCCCCTTAAAACATGAATTAAAACAGCCCCGTAAGCAAATATTTCCTCTAAATTTGTTGTCTATTAAACTCACTTAGAATAAAATCAAATTTTATGACTTAGAAACCCTTTAAGCTCCTCTCAAAACTCGAGAAATATTGATTCTAATTAATCCTGATCACAATACATACACCGAGCAATATGTACTCGTGCAAACACAGAAACATGCATTGTACCCAGAGAACACAAAACACAATAGCAATGTAAAAGGAATGTATTGACAAGCATAAGTCGCAAAAAGTAACTCGACCTGTACTCCCAATATGCATTGACAGTATATAATGTTACACAAGACGTGCATAGAAACGTAGATTAGTTGGATTCTTGTCAAAAGACGTTCAGCATATCCATGCAGGTGTTAATCAGTTGCGTTGCAGGAGATCTGGTTTTTTAATTGGGTCTACCTCGGACTTCCATCCATACATCTGTATACAGGGTTTCGCCTTTCGTATTTTGCACTTTCCTCTTACGTACTACAGCTGCCTAATGTATAATTGACCATCCCTTCGCCGAGTATATTTACAATTTGCGAAGACACCAAGTACACGTACGAGAAACCATCACCTCAGAATATTGTAGGTACTTTGCAGCCATGTACTATGAATGTACTACGAATGTTAAGGACAATTTTACGATAAAGCGGTACTAGTAGTACGGCACCTGTACTATCAAATAACTGGGCATCGTGATATTGGGTTGAGCAAAAGGTCTTGCGCCAAAATGTTCAGGAAGTCATTATTATTTAACAGCGTTACTCCACTAAAACACCACTAAATTAAACGTTGCGCCACTAAAGAATAATGGCTTTTTCCATATTTTCGGGCAGAACTTTCTGTCCAATTAAATAATTGCACTCCGGTTGGCAAAGAAGTGCGAGGAGTTGTTCGGACTAACTGGTGAATGTTAATATCCTTCGACAAAGAGTGCAATGTGTACACCAAACGAATGCAATTTGCTTCACGGTTGACAAAATCCAGAGTTTAATAAGGTAATTTGATGCAACACTGTTTACAGAGACATTGAATAATTGGATGAAATAATTTTTTCCATCGAAGGAAGGCAGCACCAAATGACATCGTAGCACAAACTACGCAGCATCAAACTACGTTACTCAACTCTGCATAAATTCCATGCTGCAATTGTAATGACCAATGGTATTTACTGTCGAAGCTAGGGAAACACAACCTTGTAAAATACATGTTCCTTTAAATTATTGTCGCACATTTCTTTCTGTAGGGTCGAAGGTGAAGCAAGCTTCTGACAACGGTACATGTGGAGACCTATGTATTACTGCACCATGAAACATTAATGTGGTTCTGTGATGGCGTTATTAGTTGCAGGATATGGTGGATTAGAATAACAGTGGCTGATAAAATGGTAAAATGGTATAATGCACTCGATGCGATACCTTTACTCGTGCTGGCGGAAACGCAACTCAGGTCCCGCAGAGTCTTATGAGTCTTTCCTTTTTGTCTTTTGCTCTCAACTTTTTTACTTGTACCTGGAAATTGCACGGAGGCACCGATAATGATTAACCACACCCCTTTTATACAGTAGGAGGAATATACATACACAAAAGTCTTAGATTTTATACAGAAATGTAGGGAAATCAGTATCGCAGCTTTCGAAGTCGATTTCGCCAAGTTAATTTTAAACGTTGAATTAATTACTCAAAAGAAGAATGGCAGACCGGATAGATTAATTTATTACATTTGATACAGTCAGCATAATATGTCAAACAGCATTTCCAGTAAAGACATCATAAGGCTTGTATGTTAAAATTATTGTATCGATACAACGTTGTTTATAAGGAAATGCCATTAGTGCATATATGCTGTTCGGTCTCTTCTGTCCCAGTGTTAATTTTAGATTCCATTCTTGATATCATTAGCACGTTGCGCAAGATATATTTCACTGTTAGTGTTTGTGCCTGTCTTCCCTAGCGTAAATCTGTTTCGTCACTATAATCATAATGCATCTGATTTCATGCATTTACTGCAACATCGTGTTAAGTTATTATAAACGTAGGTTTTAATGACAATGATGCGATACATGCCTCTTTTATTCCTTCAGCGAAATTAAGAAACTTGTTTACAGTTTAAGTCAACTATCACTTATCTCTTAAAACTGTCAATGCAATAGCAAATGTTTTATGATATTCGGATGTAAAGAAATGGCCAAATTGCAAATCTAATTTCTTTAATAAAACTGCAATTAGAAAAATGAAATGGTTTGTTGGAAAACATTCCGCTATATCTACTCTAGACATGCCATCAGGAATTCCTTTTTACTCTAACTTTCAGCGTTATGAAGTTTGAAAATCGTTTCGACTCTCTGAAGTAATGTAATAAAAAAGAAATCGAACAATGATATAACTCTGGATCATGCTATCGAAACGTTTTTGGATATCTTTGAAAAATTAATTTGTTCACAATATATTTTGTCACAACTTCTTAGTTCAATTCTGGTAAACGAAATATGGAATAAAGTATATATGACGAGTATAAAGTTTGGAGAAAATTTTCTATTGCCTGAAGTGAGAGCTCATCCAAAAACATAATTGAGTCACATCGAACGAGCATTGAATGAAAAGGCAGACTCTAAGTCCAACTAATAATGAACCGGTACTTCGTCACATTGATTTATTTCCAATAATCAAACATATATAATACAGATATAAAACGGACATGCATCGATCTAGCCTATGAAATATGTATATATTAATTCAGGAAAACATCTATCGCATAGCATAATTCGCCTGAATATTTGCCAGCTATATCACGACTCACTCTCTGTTCGACGAAAGAAGCCTTCCTGTCGTTCGCGGACATACAATATGCCCTCCTTTTCGAACTTTTGCGACGGCTGCGTTGCCAAAGTCATTAACTCCTGCTTATTGAACCGCATTTTTGAAATAATTTACAACCACATTTTTACCAGGTTCCAATGGCAATTATTTCCCTACTCATTACTAAAGACCTAGAAACAAATATGGAAATCATTCCTCCATCGTTCAAATCCCAGACACATAATGTATCACCTCGAAAGATTTAGCAACGGTAAGATCAAATTGCAAAACATTAGATTTCACGTGCAGCTCGCCCGTTCCAAAGTATACAACAACAGAAATGATTAAGAGAATTACAGTTGAGAATTCAAGACAAAAGGCAGAGTAAACTTGGAACGAAACTACTTTACAGATCGAACGCAGACTTCCATAGCAAGTTTCGATAAGAAAAGGAACAAGCAATACCGAACCAGCAATAAGTCGATGCTTCCTGCTACCGAGAGCTATGCATGACTTTAGAAATAAGAAAATGAAATGAATAAATCAGTGAAAGTTGCAGCGTGTGCTCCGAAGTGGAGAAGTGAATTAAACATTAATTCACCTACCACGTTTGGTAAGCTTAATCAAGGTAGGAGATCTAAACTATTTGTGCCATCTTCATTCTCACTTTCACATTTGCAGGCTGGATAAGGAGGGCCTCACGTCATTCACTTAACGAGTAACTCAATGTTGGGTGACAAGTGCACGAGGTGCTGACCGAAGGAAGACTCATTAATTGACATCACAGATGATTCGGAATATACATGTATGAAACTAATGTCAAAATCAAAGTAGATTCGCTCGAACGTCACGGACGGTCACCACAGTGAATGAGCTGTATTATCTTCAGGGTGGGCAGCACACAATTGATTCGTTGTTGCTGTTTGCATGATGCGACACCTGTGAAAGGGTGACACAAGTGCCGTGGAACCTGTAAAGAAACAACCAATAGCAAATAGCCCGCCAGTTTGGAATTTTCATGAGACGACATTTACTAAAGAATCAGATTCTTCAGCGACAAAGAAGAATAGCAACGATTTATGTATACAATACTTATCAAGGTTAGATAATAATGATAAGAAAGCATACCATGGTAATTCATACTTTTTTTTATAAGATATACTATATATTTATAGAAAAAAGGATGTTAGATGTCAGCAGAATATTAGTTAAAGAGTAATAACTGTTACTCATTTTTCACATTTTCGCTCAATTTGCTTCACGTAATAGACCCCCTGTTTACAGATCGCGGTAAAATTGATCTCACCCCCCTATTACTGCATTTCGTCACTAGAAGACTTCAATATTGCATAACAGTTTGTCCAACTAGAGAATGTTACAGCCTCGCCTAACCTGTAAACATATGATTCAAATAAATACCGCCGTGTTCGAAGAATTTTGAATGGATTTCTTGAAACGTCGCTGTTTGTGACACAAATGACAGCACGATGAATACGGTTAAGAACAATAAAGGTATTAGTGATGGGCTGGAGGATTTGGGTATACCTGGACAAGTATTCCTTAGAGATGCTCTTACAAGTTGCACAGACCCCTTAAAAGCGATCGAAGAGTTTCAGGTAGTAGCTAAACATATTTTGAACTTGCTTGATTCTGTTTAACCAATTCCGATGCATTCAATTTGGTCGTAAATTTACTAGCTTGAGAATGGTATATTGCTGCCTTCGCTGCGCCCCATGCTGCCGCTTCTAGACCTCCATGGAGTACGTCGACTGGATTTCCATGCATCTGTCTTGGAAGAACTTCGTGATAAACTAGTAAATCGTATTAATGAAATTGGAGCGGAAAGGACTGAAAAGAGCACCGGGGATCGTAGGTTAAAGGAACTGTTGTCTAAAAGTTTCCCTGCAGTACGAGTCGCTGCTTTAAGGCCTGTAGTTATGTGTATCTTGAGGAATACGCCACATATAGAAGATAAATATCTCCAAGTGTTGGTAAGGGAAAAGGAGCTTTATAACGATGCAGACACCGAGGTGAAACGACAAATTTGGAAGGATAATCAAAGCTTATTTGGGGATGAAGTATCGCCACTGTTTAGTAGATATATCATTGAGAAAGAGCAAGTTCTATTTGATCATCGTAACCTGAATAGTCTTTTCTTTATGCCTTCTCCTAAAGTTAGTATATCATATTTCAGATGAAAATGTGGCAAATACCAAGTGACATGTTTATATGATATATCATTTCCAGGTGAGAAGGCAAGGAGAAGTGGTTCAAAAACTGGCACACATGATTGGCCACAGCGTAAAACTGTATGACATGGTTTTGCAATTTCTGCGAACTCTATTTTTAAGGACAAAAAATATTCATTATTGTACTTTAAGGGCAGAGCTTTTAATGGCACTTCATGATCTAGAGGTATTGGTTTGAATGTTAGATCTTATTGTAAAGCTGCTATAAACTAGACAGTATATTAACTTCTATTTAAATTTCTTTAGGTACAAGATATCATTTCAGTAGATCCCTGCCATAAATTCACTTGGTGTTTGGATGCATGCATTAGAGAGAAGAATGTGGACGTTAAGAGATCTCGAGAATTGCAGGGTTTCCTGGACAGTATTAAGGTAAGATTTAAAATTACATTTTACCCAATAATATGACTTAGAAAGACAACAAACGTTACTTCATTTCTAGAGAGGACAGGAACAGGTTTTGGGTGATCTAAGCATGACTTTATGCGATCCATATGCAGTGAATTTTTTGGCTAGCAGTGCAATTAAGATAGCGCTTCACCTTATAAATAGTGAAGCATTGCCCCGAGAAAATGCAGTATTAGTACTGTTATTGCGAATGCTTGCTCTGGGACTTTCCGCTTGGCAAATGATAGATTCACAAGACTTTAAAGAACCAAAGCTGGACAGTCAAGTTGTTACTAAGTTCCTACCAGCTTTAATGTCTCTCATGGTAATAAATATATGTATACTCATTAATTTTAGTCACTAAATACTGTCATTTGAATTATGCGCATTTATTCCTTTAGGTGGACGATCAAATAAGACAACTTAACTGTAGACTTCCACCCGATGAGAGAGAAAGTGCAATAGCTATAATTGAACATTCAGGACCTCCACCAGATGCCTGCCAAGCTTACTCCCAGTTGTCAGGAGTAGCTGCTGTACTATCGATGTATTATGCCCTTCATGTAGGAGGTGGTGGTGGAGTAGGAAGAGGCCGAGGCGATGCAAGAGGCCTGATGAGAGTTCTTGCCACACTTCCAAACTGTCAGGCTCAGAGAGCTTTCGAAGATCCTTTCTTACACACTCTAGTATGTAGTAATACTACGTAATAATATGTGTTACCTTTCGATAAGACTATTCTTTAATACCTACTATTTAATATTGAAGGTTTCATTACTAATTTTAAACATGGCTGATGAATTTTCGAATGAATCTTTCTGCACGGTGATCTTTGACGAATTCTTCCTCGCCGGCTTAGGAAGAGATAACGTGACTCGTCATTTGCTTAAATTACTTTGGTACATATATCCCAAATTACCACCAGCACGTCTACATTCCTTAATGAAAGCACTTCAACCTACTAGTCAGGTACGATTGTCAATAATTATTTGGGAAACATACAGAGTTTATATGGTTTATATGATCACTTAATGGAAAACTGTTCAAAATGACTACAGCACCATGAAGCTGTCCATACACTATATGAAGCACTTCGTGAAAAAGTAGGGAATCAAACCAATGATGATCCGTTGACTTCGTCATCACAAATGGATGCTTTGGTGATGGACTGTCCTACATCTCCCCTTACTGGTGTATCTGCTTCTGCGTCTGGGCCACTTTAAGATTTCGTTCAGTTTGCTTATTCAAATGACCTCCAGGCTGAGATATTGGCCTGCGGTTTATATCTGGAAGAACATATCGAACGAACTATTGATCCTGCAGTGTTTACAGGTATAAGCTTCAGCGTATAATAAACTATTTAACAAATTACCTTTTCAGCGGTAAGAAGTTGAAAGTGAGAGAAGCAATGCGTCGAGATAATTTGAGTCTAATCTGTAAGACATTAGGATCATTGATATATACATTGATGCCTGTTTCATATCCAGTAGCATTTTCATATGTGGGTCTATTAAGCTTAACCTGTAAATAACAAATTATGGAATTCTAAAGAACGATATCTTTATACATGACATTTCATTTTAAATTCTGTACATACATTTTGATGATTACAAGACCGACCAGAGTCCATTCAGCTGTTCTAAATATGATGTTGGTTGGAGATAAGGAAAATGTATGAACAAGTACTTTAACTAAAGCACATCTGTCTCCATCGTAGACGTAATCTCCCATATGATTTCTACCAGCTAAAGTGCGCAACAAATCTGACAGCCTAGAATGTATGAACACCTGTATTTACATCACTTTTTTAAAGCTAGAAAACTTATGTCGGGTAACATGCTATTTACGAATAATATATCATAAAAGACGTTACACTTTATTTAATTTATCTAAGAAAATGCGTCTTCTAAGCGCTTTAGGTGCATGGGCTTCAGTCAGAGGCAGAATAGCACTTGACTCGTCGTCTTTATCAGTCTCAGTGTTACTCTCATTATGTAATTCTATTGTTGTACGGCCCTCAAAGAATGCTCGAACCTATATTATTGGTAAAATGATAAAAGAATTTAATATGCAAAATTATTATAAAATGAAATACTCCTTAGAATCAATATGAATAAGATACCGATGTTAGTTTTGTTACCTTTAGTTCCATCTTCTTGCCTTCTTCTTGAAGAACAGAGTAATGTGGCAGTGGTTTAGTTTTCTCCTTCGACAGGACTGCTCGATCCTGCTTTTCTTCTTCGAGCTGTAGTCTATTCAATTTTTTACACAACAACGAGTACCTTTCTGCTCGGGCTACACCTTCTAATATCCGTTTCCTAACTTCTTCCTCTCCAAATAATAATTCCACAGTTTCGGCAGTTACCCACTCTTTCAATGATTCTTCTACGCATATTGCCAAGTTAACGAAATTAGATTCATCTTTAAAACTGTCTGAGTCTTTTAATTTGTAATTCTTATTACGCTTTGAACTCATCCTCAATTATTCCTAACCATATCCCTCGGCCTTCATAACCTCTGAGGAAAATACTGGAGAATACTGTGCTATCCAGTGTTGCCACCGCGCGATTTAAAGGATAGAAAGCAGAGATGCGATAGGATACTGCTTACGGACAGGGTTGCGCGATCGCGTCCTGTGCTGCCTCCCTGTGGAGGATGACCCGGATGACCGCGATGTTAAAAGATGTTAAACGATGTTTAGTATCACAGAGATTTGAATGCGTTGAGAAATAGTTTGGTAGTTATGAGGATCTTGTAATGGAAACGGTCATTACGCAAAACCGAAATCCTTAATTTTCTTATACATCAAAGTCACCGCGATTATACCAGGGGCATTGACTGCCTTTTATTCTTATACATTTAGGAACATAATAAATTGGTCAAGCAGATTAAGAAAACAACATGCATGCACATTATTTATAAACAAATATCTTTATCTCAGACATTAACTGCAAGACAAACTCGAATACAATATAAACATACACCACCCCCCTTAAGTTTCAGTTCCACATGTTTTTTCATCGGCAGAAAGATCTATTCCTTTTATATTAATTTCATCACCTGGCAAGTTTATTTGTACGTCATTATCCGTCTGTAAAAGGTGAAATTCTGGAATTTCTTCCTTGTCCCTCAGCCACAGAGGACTCTCGAGCAATTGTCCCAATAGATGATTACCCGCTCCGTAACAACGAGAACTGCAGAAATTTTTTCTGCGACTTACATCGTAGACCTTGTTACTCTTTGTTGAAATATGGTAAAGCTGATTAATTACTACTGTGATAGGCTTGTTGCATAGGACATAACCACATTGCTTTAATATGGCTCTCTCTTCGATAACATCCTCCATGTGATTCTTATTAATATGCCGAAGCTGTAAAACATTAGATGTCGTGTCGGAGAACTTTGAAATCTGATATCTGTACAAAAATGATGAAATGTACCGTACATACATTTTCAAGTAACCATGATATTTCGACATCGGGTTCTATAAGTCTTTCGACTATTGTCAAAGCTCTGGCATCACACCGTTTCTTCTTGATTAGAGCCAGTTGGATTTGTGCCTTGCTTGAAAGTAAATGCTGAATTAAAAATCAGGAAAGTAGTTATAACTCGGTACTAGTAAAAACATATCGCATTAACTTACCGTCACTTATTTTACAGTTTACCGTAATCAGTTGTACTAACCTCAGTTTTTTCTTAACCTTTCCCTGGCCAGAGGCATTCCCCCGAGATGTGGAACTCATTCCCAAAGAATTCGACTCTTGACTTTGTGTATCTTAAAGAAAAGTGAGGTTGCAGTAAGGATTTTCCGGTCAGGAAAATTCAGGCAAATGTTTGTGTCTCCCAACTCATCTCTGATCGAAAATTGGAGTAGATTCACTGTCAGCGGAGTAAAATTAGTTACCCCCACCATATTGGAAACGGTCAAACTAAAATCTAATATGGCGGATATTGGCGGGATATTTGAAATGTTCTTTTTCCATTTTAAAATTTTCTGTCATCAGATGTGTTTAACCGATGAATGCAAACATAACTAGAAGTGTACTTATATACCGGGAAAACTAGACAGATTTCTTCATAGTAAAATAAATTCATTGTCTCACAGTCAGGAATATATTTCATAAAATGGAGCAGAGAACATAGAAGTTGGAGTAGAGTAGTAAAGTCACATTAATAGTAGATCTACTCCGATTGGAGTGTAGTGGCAACCCTGGGCGGTAGTCACCCATCGTCACCCATGAACCTTGAGACCTGTTAATAATTCGAATAATTCGTTGGGCTCGATGCGAAATGTCGTTAATTCGAACGCTTTGGCAATGTACTCTCAGTCCTCGCCTTTTTCGTATCTACGAGATATCATGGGTAGGCCATCTCGTGGACGTAGGTACAATTTCGCCATTTCTATTGAACACTTCGCGAGTTCTTGAGGTTATGTTCATACCGTTTAATTGCAGAAACCGTACGAGACGAAGGGTTTGGAACGATGGGGAGACCAAGTTGTCACCTCTGTAAGTGGCTTTACGAAGTAAAATCGCAATGACAAGATTATAGCGTGATCGTTACACCTGAAATGTCATTCTTTTCCACAGTTCATCATGATGTGGTCCGTCGGTTTATACGCCTTACCGGTGCTCGCTCCGTTCATGTATCGACGAAACTCTACGCTCGCCGAGAACGCGTATTCCCTGTCCAAATTAGTAGCAGGAGCTGGGGCAATTTTGGTAGCTTCCCTAGTGGCACGAGGTTACTCTAGAGCTACTAATCCAATTTACACTAAGTTTATGAAAACGTTGACAGAGGCTAAGACCCGTCATAGTGCAGAATCCAAGCAGGAGTTGCAAAAATACGAGTTTGAATTTTGGGCTTGGCCCGTCGATTTTCGAATCGCAGATGTCACAGGGTAAGATCGAAGTAGCTCGTCGCTCTCCAAATTCGTCTTAGCTATTTTTTCTTGCTTACATCGGTTTGACTTTTTCCTTTAGAGATAGCCAAAGGAGACGCATCGGATTAGAAACGGATAACGCTCTCGGTACCAGCAGGGAACGTCCAAGAAATCATACTCGACAACAGAGTGGGAAAGATTTAGTTTTTGCTTTACCGTGCAGACTGATTGCATACATAGTTGCTCATACGTTTGCACTTAAATTGATGTATCCTGGCAGTATGTCACTCATTAACTGGGCAATGAGTAAGACCGCGTCTACGCAGACTAGGACTTTTTATACGCTCGAGACCCTGCTAGAGAATGTATCGGATTGAAACGGATGGTTTCTTTTTTCAAGGGTCGTCATTGCTACAAGGTAGAATCGATTTGATTAAACAAGGTGGCGAGAGGTTCAAGCTCGTTACCGTGGAGAGCAACGAAATTGATGCATTGTTCGTTGACCGACGGAACAAGTTAGTATTTTTGCGTCGTCATGCTTTTCCAGAGGATAAGAGGATTGTTATCGTTATAGGTCTAACAATGGAGACATCCTAGTGATAACTAGCGAAGGAAACTGCGGTTTTTACGAAGTAGGAATAATGGCGACCCCATCAAAGAAGGGTTATTCCGTCTTGGGTTGGAATCATCCAGGTTTTGGGGGCAGTACCGTAAGTGTAGTCATGCGATAAAAATGGAAAGCGAACAAAGGGCACGTCGATGAGAAGGTTTGCCGTTGCTCTCTCGGGTATTCGAACGCGGAGACGACTTAGTGAGTACGAGTACTTAGACTAGCTAATGTAACGGCAAGACTTCTTCGAGATAATTAATATAATTATTAGTAAGCCGGTGTTGATTATTCGAAAAACTTGAAATGATTGTCCAGGGTGCCCCGTATCCAGCTCAAGAGCAAAACGCGATCGATTGTGTAATGCAGTTCGCAGTGGAGTATCTCGGATTCAAAGAGAGCAACGTCATACTTTACGGATGGAGTATCGGGGGATATCCGACTACCTGGGCCGCCATGAATTATCCTGCCGTGCACAGCGTGGTAACGTACCGCGGAAAGCTTTACAAAACGGAGCATACGGGGATTCGACGACGACTGCATATTTAATCCCTGTAGGTGTTAGATGCTACCTTCGACGACGTCCTTCCATTGGCGGTCGACAGAATGCCAACAGCCGTTGAAGGCATCGTACGAACTATCATCAGAGAATATCTGAATTTAAACATCGCGGAACAGCTAAACAGGTTCGTCGGCCTCTTCTATTTGCTACCTCTCCCCCTGTATGTTTATTCGATTGTACGTTGAAAGGTATAACGGCACGGTGTTGCTGATAAGAAGGATCGAAGACGAAATGGTCAGCGTACCGGTTAACAGCCTGTCCGGCAATCGAGGCAATCAGCTTCTAACGAAACTACTTCTAAGGAGGTATCCTCGATTATTTAGCAACGGCACGGAGAGCGCGTTAGTCCTTTCGAGGTATCTTTCCTTGGCGACTCCACGAGGAAAAAGTAAGTACGATCGATGGATCGAGGAGGAAAGGATGGACATTGTACGTAGCTCGTATCGTAGGAACGTTAATGAGGGAAATAGGAGTGAACGAGGAGAGTTGCAGACAGTTAGTGGCCCTCGATATCGAGAGAAACGAGGGTCTCGTAAGCTACCCGTCCACGTTGGGTGAGGACTGCGACTCCGTTACGAGGCAACAGCTGACCGTTTTCCTCGTAAGTACGAGTCCGTCTTCGATCGCTTCGCGAGCATTCTTTCAACGCTTTTCAAATTCTACTTCAGGCAAGCAAATACTTGGAAGATCAAGCGACACAGCATTGTGATCCTCTCGCGATAGAACTTTTCCACCCCGGTTGGGACCCGAGGTCTATAGTCCCGACGAAGAGCAACCTTAACGTGCACCAAACATGACCGACTTCGCGAGGCATTCAAAATTCAGGATACGCCAACGCCGCTTATTCGGTAAAATAATTATTTTTAACCAAGAACGGCAGATCTTTCGTTTCGATGGGATTAAGAACTCGTTAAGTGAAAGGTTAAATACGATCGAGCTAGCAAAACTCCCGAGGATCACTTCAGCGTCGCTCGTTCCATGGAAAAGTTGGCCGATCGATACTTTATATGACTATTCGGTAATAGGTAGACACGTGGCATTTAACCATCTATCAATAAAGTTTTTATTCTGACCATCCATCCGAATCGACTTCGTTGCTTGAATTTAGATCGTATTATCCGCGGCACGATCAGTGGAGCTAACCGAAGAGAAAAACATTAACTTCCCGAGGAGGAGATGTTAACGAGAGAAGAAATCCTTTTCCGATAGCGTACACTGTCTATTACCGATCCAATGCCAATTTTAAGGAAGCCTTGGAATCTTGGTAAGGATCGAACTTTGTCCTACTCGTCTTTACAGGTTTCTCAATGAATAACTTCAACGTATCTCTTGTCTGCGAAGGAAAGTAGTCTTTTCGACTTATTATCTCTAAGGCCTTAAAACAACCTTTCAAGTTCCAATTTATCCTTTCCGCTTTGCCATCTTCTCCCTGAAAAGTGGAAAATATCAATCGTAAGTCGTCAATGATTTTTTGTCATTTTGTCAATGATTCGATTCGATTGGGAAGATCATTTTTACCGACCTTAATCAGTCCAAGACTGACCAGCAAAGCATTGCTCGCGATGGATACTTGGTTGTCTCTGGATGCTCGTGCAAAGAATTCTGCGTACAAAGTATCCGTCAGTCTTTGGGCTACCATTTTAACGTCATAAAAATCGCTGTCGTACAGCGAGGACACTTTCATGATTATTTTCGCAAATTCCTCGAGGTAAGAGCTATTCCGAAGTATGTCCCGGTTGTCGGATAGATTCTGGAAGGATATTGCAATTTGAGATAAAATTTATGATCAACGGAGGAACATTTTGGTGAAACAATCGTGATACCTTCGCGTGATCCGCAAATACTCGAATGTCGATATCGTCCAATAATAATAAATTCTCGCCGGTAGGTGTTCTTAGGAAATCCTCTACAGTAACTTTCCTTTCAACTATGGTCTCGCTTATTTGAACGTGATCATTGTCCTCTTCGTCTTCTCCATCGTTCTCTTCGTCTTCCCCATCGTCCTCGTCATCGTCGATCTCGTCATCTTCCTCTTCATCTTCCTGTTCCTCTCCATATTTTTCGTCTTCGTCTTCTCCTTCGTCCTCGCCATCTTCGTCCCCATTGTCATCAATATCGTTATCGTTCCCTTCGTCACTGTCAAATTGTTCGTCGTCTTCGTCAAAGTTACCCAAAGAGTCGATCCTTTCGGACTTGGTGAGGGCCTCTATCAAGACATTTTGTCCTTTTACCCCAAATTCGTTTCCATCCAATTGTAGACTTGTCAGTTGAGTTTTATCAGCCATAGCGTTGGCTATTGGTAGTGCAGCTTTAATGCCAATCTCGTTGGAACTTAAAATTACTTCTGCAAGACCAGGGTGACTATCTTTCCTTCCTAGTGCATCGGCTAAAATCAAGGCACCTTTTGTCTTAAGTAAACAATCACCTAAATCAAGTTTCTCAAGATCTGGAAAATTGGGCAGTGCACCCGCGAGGGCTATAGCACCTTTCGCACCTATTGTGTTATCGTTTAGGTTTAATACTCTTAATTTCTTGTTATAGGAAAGACCGTTGGCAAGTGCAGTTATTCCAATATGATATATTCCATTTTGTGGCATCTGTACTTCTTCGAGAGTACCGATGGTTTTGAAGACCTTTGCAATAGCAGTTGCACCTTGATTTTCTAGACGATTCCTACCCAAGATGAGGACTTTTAACATCAATGGCATTCCATTTTCTTTAATGCTGTTCTCATTACAAGATAAAAGAGCTTTGGCCAGCATCTCTCCACCCGATATTCCGAGACCATTGTTATTCAAACGCAGTTTTCGAAGCGTATGACAAGGACTGGAAATCAGCAATGATGCCAGTCCTTTGACGCCGATTGGTCCCAAGGCATTGTCACTGAGATCGAGTTCTACCAAGCGAGTGCCAGCTGCACACAATCCATTTCCTAGATGTTCAAGAGCCACCGGTATCTCGGTCTTTAATCGTCCTGTGAACATATCCTTCCATAATGCTCGTTTTAACAGTACGCCATTTTTCTTCAAGGCTTCAGCTATTGCTCTTGCCGCATCGGGGCCCAATGTGTTCCCTTCTAAATCCAAGAATACCAGATGCTTGCACTGCTCTATCGCGTGTACTACTGGATCGGCTATTTGGAAAATTATACATAATTGCTTTAGATATCATTGAGCACTCGATAATTTACGAGGCTGTATAGACAGATATCGGCGAAGTAAACTTACCATCCTTCTCTGAATCGAGTTTAAGCGATTTGCCGGTAAACGAGACGCCATCGGAACGGCTCAGCTCACCACTAGCCTCTTTTAGCTGTTCTTTTATTTCTCGCAAATTAAACAAAGTCATCTCTATCCAGTTAACGGATTACTTTTCGCGAGATCGAGGTTAAGAATTCAAAAGACATTAACACTTTTTCTAACAAGCACAACTATGCGAAGCCGACACAATCACAAACGTTTAGACGCGCAAAAGCGGGAAATTTTGCGCGTTTCACCATGAATCTACAGGTAGACAGAAAGAGACTGTCATGCACTTTCAACCCCGTCCGAACGTCGTGGTTCGACTATCTCCCACATCGCGTCGGTGGTAGGGTTGGGTAAGTCAAATCAGAGATGAATGTAATACATATTTAAAAAATATGAATAGACTCGAGTCCTCTTCTTTACTTTTAACGGCTTTCCATCTTTCCATCTTTCCTGCCTACAACCCACACCTCTCAACAATGTTCGATTTACAAGGTATATACCTTTATTTGAAATATTACTAGACCGGAAGTGCTAGTGATCTCGTTCTTTCATATAGCGAATACGTAATTCGGCGAATAAACCCACGTGAGATGGAAGTGCGAGAAGTGAGCGCGCACGTCAAAAATACGTAATAAACGCATCGACAAGTCTCCATAAGCTGCAAGTATGTACAGAATCGCCCGGAGTCGATAATGTCGGTCGCGCGAACGCCAACTGTCGGTAGTTAACGATATCGGTACGTACCGAGACCGTAGTATAGAATCCCGCTACTGTTCATTCCGAAGTCAATCGGTAATGAGCGAATCTTTGTTGTATGCAGTCCCATTGTCGGTAATTAAGGTGGGTATTGCATAAAGGATTGAACTGGCATATAGCACCTGCAGATTTTTTTCTTTGTTGATTGAGGTAGCGATCGACAGTATGTATTCACGTTATTAACTCACGCGGCCATATGCATTCCAATATCCTTTAGCGGTAACGAGCTGCAGATTCTTGGTAAAAAAAGGGAGAAAAAAACGAGTTCGCAATGCGTCCACATATTTACCGCTTGCACACCCTTAAACGTTTGTGAGCAGGTTCAACCATAAATCCAATTATTGGTCATATTTCATGCAGCTTCGAGCCGTTTCGAGTTCTCCACTCCAAGGCCCTTCCGCGTTTCAATAATCGTCATCTGCGGAAGTCATCGTCAATTATCAGCGATGTAAAATTAAAATAAAAAAGACTCTTACGAACAGGGCGAACGTATCGACGGTATTTTCGGTTACGTTAATGAGAAAATGCGATATGTAACGGTTGCGTTAGACCGTGGCGGTGGTTAATTATCGGGAATGAAGGTAAAGGATCAATCGACATTATCCGCTTAAGGTCTTGTCTCGTTCAATTCAGAGACTTCAATCCGAACGAAGGACCCTAGGGACCCCGATCCGCCTTACGGGATTTCATGGTATGACTTTTTACCCTCAATTTTAGGATAAATCGTGCAAGGAAATGCCCGTTCTTACACCGGTGATCTTTCGATCCAGTCACCTTGGGATTTCGCGGCTTGGTGATTTCTTATTCACATATTCTTTCTCAACAAAACCGACTCTAGTCTTATCTACCGGCGTGAACTATTCCATTGCGATAAAGTATTCAACTCTCCATCGTCCTTGCAACGTGAATTTATTAATAATAATGAAGTATATGATATTGGCCGACCATTAGCAAAGAAAATGGTTAACAACACGGCCGCCAGGAACTCGGAGCAGCTCCGGCTTAAAGATTTGCGCAGGAAAGAAAAATTGAAAAAAAAAATTCAGGAAGTATCGGGGAAAAACAATAAAAGCAAAGTATCGCTGCTCGTGAAACTGTAAGACTCGTAAGACTCTTTTGTTTTGCAGTTCAGCATCGATTTGGTGACTTCCTCTTTCGCGCCACATCGAGACTTTGCGCTAGGGTAATGTCTTGTACGCACATTATTTCTTGATGAAATAAATTCCAGCCTCGCCTACTGCTCTGAACTATTTCATCGGGGAAAAAAAAAGCTCGCAACTTCCCGTCCTTACGCCGTGAATTAATTAATAATAATGAAGGATATGATATTGGCCGGTCATTAGTGCACGGGGGCAGTTCTCGAGGCGGCCGCTAGGTGCGTTCGGTTCGCAGATATGCGGACACGCGAGGACATATTCTCTTACGCGCCTTCCATGTCAATTCCATGAGGGAAGTCAAGCTCGGTGAAGAAAAATGAGCAAAGGAAGGAAAACTAATTGAGATTAGAGCAGAGATTTACGATTTGCTTCTATTCTCGCCACTGATTTCCGATTGGTCGCAGGTGAGGCAGGCCTCCGGAACGTGATATTGTGGCAATCTCATTTGAATTGTTAATAAATCTCGCGGTTGTACGAGATATGGAAAAAAGATCGAAAAGAAAAAGAGAGGCCTGTGCGCACGCGTAACGATCTATAATTATTGGACTGCTTTATCACTTTGTTTGTCAATGCCGACTTCGAGCGCTTCAAGAGGACCGCCTTTCTTAAATTTCTCGCTTCTTGTAGTCCATCTGAATTGTTTTTTTTTTTTTTAATATTCCGTATCAACATTTTTATTAGCGGGAAGGTCGCCTTAAATGAACGTAATCGTTATTCAGCCTCGGTAGAATAAATGGGCAGGGATTAAGGGGGTATTTGCCCTGGCGCAACAATATCCATGTATCCGCTCCATTAAACGGATACGGCATATTAAACAAGACAACTATCGGCGAGTGAAGGCGCACATGGTCGACAAATTGTTTAACGCAACTCGGGCTCAGCACTTTATACGCTTTAATCGCGCACTTAACGGACTATCAAGTACGATTGTTGACTGGAGTGCGACTTTCAAGCCACAGGGACCGATCTTTAACTCCTGACGAGAAAAAGATATTTGAGAATTTCAGAGACGTAAAAATCGAGGAGAATTTTTTGGGGCTGAGCCGAGTCAATGGCGGGGAATCGAAGTCCGGTCCGTGAAAGTTGATTAATTAATCACTCTTGAAATTAATTACTCACCACCAGTCGTGTCGTATAAATATTAGCTTTTTTCACCCGTCCATAATTTACCATACATTCTTACTGCGTGCTGCAGGTGGAATTATAAAATCCGTAGCGAGCGCGTTGGCGACGAGCCCCGCAACTTCCATTATCATAAATTAAGTCTCTCGGAGGCTCGAATCTCGAGGCGGAAGTCCGCCCTGGTGGGACCTTATTTCCGGTCCCCGGCAAAGGCTTCCGGCTCTTTTATCTTTCCGTTTCGACTTTGAGAGCTCTCGATCGCGGGAAAGGGGAAATACAATTATCCGCTTCTTCCTCCCTGGGACAAGCGGAGGAATCGGGCGCAGTGCACTCGGCCCCTTGAAAAGTGCGACTTTATATCCCCCCTCGAAGTGGCGGGTGCAGTCGGCACTTTGAGGGAGAGAAAGAAAAAAGAAAAAAAAGTGGAAAAATCAGGACGAATCCTTCTGGGATGAATGCCGGGTTAAAAGCACCGGAAATGGCCCACGGCGTGACCAGAAACCTGACCAGGGTCTCAGGGAAAAGACGTGAAATATCAAGGACTACGTCCTTCGAAAACTCGGGGGCTGAAGAAAAATTATGCTCCCGCCTTAATTTCGCAATTCCATTGTTCTGTAACAATGATAATTAAGTAAAAATAATGCTGATATTTTTGGCCTCCTAATTTTTAAGACGCTCTGGTATCGCGGCTCAGTAACAAACCGGTGAGCAGGAATATTAATAAATAACTACGAGGCGAAGATAAAAATAGGACAAGCGGCAATAAATTACCGAGATATTTCTAACACCCCCGCGTTTCTCTGTGACGTCACCCCATGATGGATACCCCTAAAACCATATCCCTGTACCATGGTCGCCGTCGAGTGCGCAAAAAGATGGACATTGTCAGTAGTCTTCGAGAGCTCTGTGCAAAAATCCCTGCCTTCGGTTAACTCCCACTGCACATGGTAATATATGGAATGATATCGCAATCATTAGCAATTGTTTTCTTTAAAAATAGTCCAGAATGCAGATAAGTAAGATCAACTCCGATTTCAAGTAATCTCGAAAAGGGATCGAGCTTAGAGGGAACTCGAAGAACGCTTATTTCTGTCGGCAGCGACGTCAACAAGGTTTTTTGTTAACTAATTGTCATAAACAATTCGTCCGAGTGACTTCAACTGGTGATATACCGTCGTTAAATGCGAGTAAATGGATATTCGTTATCATGTATGAAACATTTAAATTCAATAGGAGGAACATCGAATTAATTAGTCATGTACTTGTTAATGCCTCGACGAGGCGTTCAATTCAACAAGGATGTGGAATTTCATTGGAATTGATTTGAAAGGATTATAATATATTTCTTATCACTTTTTCCTGCGGTGATTAGGGATGGATGAATTCCCGCCCTAAATGTTTATGCAGAAATTTTCTCCATTTGGACGAGTTGCATCTCTTGGTCACGGTGGGAGGCGGTTTTAATTATTCCTTAGGGACCCTCCCGCGGGTCCAGGAGGAATTATTGCGCAGAGAATCGTACCGATCGATCATGAAATATGTAGATCGACCGGCCGATCGAGGGGGCGTGGTGAAATGATATGATTGTGATATTCCGCAAGTTGGCGCATACTGGAGGAGCGAGATAAAAATCTGTCCTTGTTGCAGGCGGAGGTGTGGTCAGGTGCAGATATGATTTTTTCCCTCGATAACGACTCCCCGCTGGTTCAGCACGTCTAATGACAACTTATCTTCCACTCGCGGCTCAATGGAAGTCAAATCGTCGGACGGTTCAATATTTATCGAGCTGGGCACGTAAGTTTATTAACACTGCAGACTATACTGTCGACAGCTTGTCCTCGTCACTTCCGTGTGTGACTTTATCAGGATTTTCATTGACAAACGCATGATTTACTAAATTATTTCGGTAGTTATCAATAAATACGTCATTTTTTAAAAATAAAGATTAAGGGTATCTAGTTTATCATTGTCAGGAAACTTGGTAGAGTTTCACGCCAAATATACACCCTTGTATGTGTACATATATCTTTCTATAACAGCGTTCAGCGGCGAATTTACGTCTTCGGCCGCCATCTTGTCTTCTTCGCGACGCCCTTTGGAGAGATGTTAAGGAAGCTCGCACCCTGTTAATAAATTGTCCTATAGACATGGAAATAACGTTTCCCATATTAAATGTGTCGCTTAGATCGGACTTTAACCGGCACGTCAATTACCTCGATTCCAAGAGAGATCGAGCGATGGATCGACACGACCTTGTCTACAGAC